AAAGGCTTATTTAATTATATACCGATAATGACATGTGACCGATGTTTTAAATCACTTACCCGTTTGCCAGTGTGGTTCTTGGGTCGACACCAGTGTGGTTCTTGGGTCGACACCAGTGTGGTTCTTGGGTCGACACCAGTGTGGTTCTTGGGTCGACACCAGTGTGGTTCTTGGTGCGACACCAGTGTGGTTCTTGGGTCGACACCAGTGTGGTTCTTGGGTCGACACCAGTGTGGTTCTTGGTTCGATACCAGTGTGGTTCTTGGTTCGATACCAGTGTGGTTCTTGGGTGGACCTCAGATATTCATGGGGGGCGCACCGTTGTGATGTGGAATAACGTTAAACTAACATCTTTAAATGCAAGGGGCACACAACTCCAAACGTCACGCGACGGCCCTATCCACAGCAGATCCGTAGCCCTGTTCCATTAACTGCATCAATAATAATACAAGGTTTTAGAAGCTGTGGTACATGTGCGTTAAGTGTAAAATATACGTGTACAACAAAATCACATAAAGCGTTGTATTAAATCAGGCCTGCACGACATACGGCCTGCGGGCTGCATGCCGGCCTACCAGCACCCACTTTGAGGCCCGCGAAGTAACGAAATAGTCTTTATTATTATTATTTTCTGAATAGCTTTCCCCTTGTCCTATTTTCTTTCAAACCACACAAGTTTTTTCATAAAGTATTACGGGCCGCCTCACATTTTCAGTTGTGCAGGGCTGTATTAAATCATATCGGTTAAAGAACAGCTGAGACGTTCCAAGACTAATGATGAACCACGAATATAGATAAATCTCAACATTGGGTGGGGGTGGGTGATTTTTTTTTTTGGGGGGGGGGGGGGGGTTAAAAACTATTGAGTACACCTGTGGCCCACACCTCCCATCAGCACCTGGGCTATGAGGTAACGACTGGAAACAACATTTTGTACTCAGCATTAGCGTAAGGTGAGTAGGTGGCGGTCACATGCGTGTCAGCACGCGGTGATTCAATGATTAGGCAACAGTGAAACAATGGTGATGCAATGGTGAGACAATGGTGATGCAATGCAATGGTGAGATAATGAGATATAATTCAATTTAGAAATAAAAAAAGATTTCAGAGGGACATTCAAGTCAGAGGTCTTCCGTTCCGTTTGGGGTCCAAATCATTTGTGTAACACTACCTTTCTTTAAAGTCCAGGCACTAAGAGGCAAGTACTGGGGCCGATGATGGGGACGAGTAATGGGAGGATTTAACGAGGGTCAGCTGTGCCCTGGACTACATAGCTAAATAGTTGAAACGTGTTTGGCCCTGTAAATAGACACAATCTGATGACGTCATTAACACTACGCGTCCTAGTCACAAAGCCACATTATCAGACGGCGCATTGACGTTTTTATGAATACAAAATTAAGTTACCACAAACCGATTACAGCAAGAAGCCGAGACAGTGCAAGAGATCCTAATGGTTGGAGGAGATGTACGGCGCGTAGCCGTGCAGGACTGATGGGACGGAAGACAAATTGGCGTGCTATCTTGTGCTGACAAGAGGAACAGTCAAAAACTGAGAATGGGATGAGTCTCGGCGCCTGACGTTATCTCTCGGGAACTGTGTGGTGAATTGCCGTGTGAACACTGGGACCTATCTCACGGTGATTTTAATAGTGTGTACACTTTGGGAAGGGGGGAGGGAATTGCATTGATTATAATGTTGTGAATACTTGGCGCGGGGGATGGGACGGAAGTTGTACATTGGTTCTTATGTTTTCAAAGATAGGCTAGACTAGGGCCAACATACCCCCAACTTATGTTTTCAAAGATAGGCTAGACTAGGGCCAACATACCCCCAAACTCCTAAGAACGGCTCTGAATGAATCTAGCGTTGGCGTTTCGTGCATCTGGCCATTTCTAGGATACTTTATTTTTATTTGATCATCAGACGTTCAAATTTCAATCTATAGAATAACATTGGATTAATAATGATTTTACATTAAATGAGAGGCCCTTCAATGCAGTTATAAAAACAAAAGAACACGATTAGGTCTAAAAAGGCCAGGGAACGCGCGGAAAGGAGAAACAAGAGAAAGACAATACCAACAGTAAGCCTACTTTTTTTTTGACGGCAAAAAGAGTTCATCTGGGCATAAATTTAACAAGAATAAATAACTTCCGGATTTAACAATAATTCAAAGATTGATTTTTCTTGTTTTGTTGTTTGTTACTTTTTAAAACACAGGGCACAAAATAAAAAGCAATGGAAATATATTATCCATGCTCGGCAATGTGGAAAGTTCTATCGACCTGTTTCATGTGAGCGTACTGGCCGTGATCGTATAGTGGTTAGTACTTCGCGTTGTGGCCGCGACAACCCAGGTTCGAATCCTGGTCACGGCATGTAGCTGTGTGTCTCGCATTGCCAAGCTCACTATGTTTTTTTAAATTTGTTTTTATACATAAAATCAATTTAAACGTAGCCTAACTTACATTTTTTTTTAAAAATTGTTGCTCATTTGTTATTGTCGACTTAGTTATAAATAAGGAAATCACTTATACAGTGTTTACGTATTAATAAAATATTAATATATTTAAAATGTTGTCTATTGAAAATTTACAATACTCCTTTCGTGGAAGCAAATATGTGTATACTTATTATTGTTATTGTTCAATGCCTGTAACATGTAAACTATTGGAAACTATAAATTACAAATAACAATGCTATTATTGAATGTCATTCACCAGAATAAAGAAACACAACTCTAATATAGTAATTTAATTTTGTCTCCCTGCAGTTGTTGGTCCTGTACTTGTAACTACAGATCCGGAAAAATTCCAGGCGGAGCTGAGAGACTTGTACGTGCAAGGCGGAGGTAAGTAAAAGCACTACATCAATACCTCCAAGTACAGTCAAGTTAGCTAGATTTAGCATCTAATTTAAATATTATACTCTAAATACCGTGGTTTGAGTTCTATCTACAGAGATTTATATTCAAAGGCAACTCCCAAGCCCAATAGACATAGAAAAATTACTAATAATATTAGTAATATAAAAAGTAAGAACTAAATTTTTAAGTACACAAGCAAATCAAAGTGTATTTTATGAAATTCATAAACAAGCACTGTGTAGAGTAGCTGGATGGACCTTAATTAAATAGTGAGCTAATTTAGTTTTTTTTAAATAATTATATTATACATACAGTCTACAGTACATTATTACTGTTTTGTCATTGAAAAAAGACATTCATTCACCCTTGCCCCATGTGCATGGGCGCCCGCAGAAAACTTTCTGGGGGGGGGGGGGGGGGGAAAAAACATAATTACCTTCTGGGGGGGGGAAAAATGATTAACTTTCCAGGGGGGGCAAAAAATTTTTAGTAATGTTTTAATATAGTTTTAATTTACTGTAGCGTATTTGTATGGTGAACGAACGGACAGGACATCAGCTTAGTTACTTTCTCTTTACTTTAATACATTTTTTGTCTATTTTTGTCTAAAAAAATTTTATCCAAACAATCCAGGGGGGGGGGGCAAGTGCCCCACCTTGCCCCTACCTGCGGGCGCCCATGCCCATGTGCTGTATTTTAACATAATTAAAAGCAACTAAAAACAGTAAACTTGCATAAAGTGCCCCATCACACACAATAGGCAATAGGGAATGGCAAATGATCTATTTATAGGAGTTCCCAAGTAGGTCCTTTTGATTATCTGTTATAAGGTGACTGCCCAGAAATGAGCATTGGAGCTATAAAGAAAGCACTGGAGGTCTCTCTTCCTTATTCATTCATCTACGTTTTCACTGATGCCAGAAGTAAAGATTATTACCTCACGGAAGAAGTGCTAGCCCTGATCCAGCAAAAACAATCACAGGTACATTGTGTGTTTGTTGGTTTCAATAGCTATATATATCTCAAGGAAGAACTGAAGCTCTCATAAAGCCAAAACAGGAATGTTGTGATTAAGTAAAGGAATATTTAGTTTGAAGAAAAACATTGACAATATTTTCTATCCAGAATCAAAATTTGAATAACATCTTAAATACCATTATTTTTACATTTAAATTTAATGCTTTTTAAAAAAAAAATCAAATACCATTCCTATTTTTAATGATACTTTTTTTCCTTACCTTCATCAAATGAGTGCCAAATTTTAGTTTTATTGGCCTTTCAATATGAAACTGACTATCTGACCCATTCAAGTAAAAGAATTGTGTCATTTTATTTGTTTCTTGGTTTGCTGGTCTGAGAGTACTCCAAAAAAAATTGCTGCACTAATTAAAAGGTGTCATAAAAGCTTTAGCTGAATCTATTTTATTATTTATACTGAGAAGCTATGTATTTATGAATAGTTAAATAAATACAGTTTATTATTTGACTAGGTTGTATTTGTCCTAACTGGAGATTGTGGTAATGTAACTCACAGTGGATACAAAGCTTATGAGGAAATAGCAGCGACAAGCTCTGGTCAGGTGTTTTTGCTCCACAAGTCTCAAGTCAACCAGGTATCCCTTAACATTTTTAAAGTTTAATAAACCTGTTGCCACGACAAAGTTTGATTTGTTTTTGAGAGAAATTAGATATGTGAAATAAATGTATGCTAGTTTATTTTTAATGCATTATTTACAGTAAATTCTTATAATGAATCAAATTAGCAATAACTATAGAAACACAAATTTCCAGCAAGAGGTTAACTGGAAATTCAATTAAACATTCATTTTTTTTGCGATCCAGCAATGTCCATCCTGAAGGGAAGAAAACATTATCAACTCAGCATTTTTAGTCTATCAAACATAGAGCCACAAAAGTATCATTTATGGATTAAAATCTTTAAACATAACTCAGGTTACACTTTATTTTATATTCAGATGCTCTCTTAACCAAATTTTACATTAGATGATTACCTCTGGTCACCATATAACTGAGTTTCTTCTGTACATAAAATTTAATTTCACTTCAATAGACATAAGCCTGGCAAATTACTATTTGTATTCTTAGGTCCTTAACTTTGTAAGGGTTGCAGTCCAATCCAGAAAAGTGAATTTGCTGTCAGTGAATGAGGATGAAGGCAAAACACAGCTGCTAAACCTTCCATTGGATACACACCTCAAGGAGGTCACTGTGTCAGTCAGTGGAGAAAATCCACAAATTACTCTTAAAGACCCTGAAGGTGAGGAAACATTTTTGGTAAAAAATTGAGACAGTTAACTTTATTTAGACGGTTAAGTTTGCTTAGACAGTAAACTTTCTTTAGACATTAAACTTTATTTAAAGTGTTAACTATATTTAGTTAACCTTGTTTAAACAGTAAACTTTGCTTAGAAAGTAAACTTTGTTTAGAAAGTTGACTTTATTTAGACTAATTCTGAAGTAAAAATCTCACTCTGCATTTTATATGACAAAATAATAAATTATAGGCTTAACATTTCTTAGTATACAATAACATTAACTAAAATAAATTGTACGCTAAAGTTTTTTGAGAATTGATACTTATCACTAACATTTTGATAACAAAACCTAAGAGCATAATTTTTAAAAAAACATGTCTTAGTATATAACAACATTAGCTAAATAGAATTATAATATAAAGATTTTTGGTAACTTTTAATACTTATCTCAAACATAAGATTATGATTGAATGAAATAGTTTCATTTTTAAAACTCAATTTAAACCTAAATTTAAGTTAAAAACTAAAATAAATAATGCTTGGAAGTATGTTTACAATTAAAATCTTAACTTTAAAAAAAAATTAATTAAGTTTAAAATTCTGTAAATAATTGTTGATTTTTTGCATTGTTTAAAATTTTTTTTAATGTGTCTGTGAAACAGGAAACAAGAAACTGCTTGGGGATGGTTTCACAGAGCTCCTTAGTCTAAGCAATGTCAAAATTGTCAACATTAAAGAACCTGTTCCTGGGAACTGGAGACTTCGTGTCAGCAGTTCAGGAACACACAGCGTGAGAGTCACTGGCCTCAGCAGTGCAGATTTTGTTGCTGGTTTCTCCAAATACCCATCAAAAGATTTCTCAAAGACAGCATTACGCCCCATTCAAGGTAAAGGGAAGGATTCTTTGTATAAAAAAAAACTTTCATCTTTTTGATTGAATTAACAAACAACTATTCATGAGAGGATGAACTAACTTTTTAACCAATTTCATGTATTTATTTTTAATCTTCACTACCATTATTTGTTTATACTTATTTCTACATTTTAACAATTTTAAAGATATATTTTTTAAAATATGCATTATCATATGATAAACTTACTAACATTTTCAGGCATTCCAACCAGTATTCTGGTCAACTCCACCGGCATTGAGCTGCCATCAACTCTGAATGAACTTGAACTTGTTGATCTACGAGGAAATACACTTGCTAAATATCCCTTGAATCAAGATCCAGAGATTAAAACATTATATAATGTTACGCCCTTTGTACCACCTGATCAATATTTTTATGTGAAGGTAAATATATTAGCAACTTTCCTCAAACATGCTCATAGTTAATTTTAACTTTAATGTAAATTTTATCATTTCTTTGAGTGTAAAGAATATTTTTAAAATAATCTTGTTATGCAATACTGACATTAAATTTAAACAAAATGGAGAGGGATTCTTTGCGCAAAGTATAAATATTTGTATTCCTAATCTAAATTGCTTACCATCCATAACATTATGAAACTGTAGACAATTTTTAAAACTTTGCCATTCTGAGAGGCCTAAAATATCATGTTATGTTTTAGGTTACAGGCACAGATGATGAAGGCTATGTCATGCAGAGGACCACGCCCACCGCCATCAGCCCCCTTAAAGCCAAATCTCCCAGGGTTTTAATGCCAGAAATTACTCGGGGCTTCTACGACTCCACTGCTGTGCTCACCTGCCAAGTTCAAAGTCTTGTACCGTACACTGTACAGTGGTGGTACGGGGGGACACAACAAGGAAATGATATTTTCTTAAGGTAATAGCTTACAAGGATTTTTTAGTCTGTATTCATAAATGAAAAAAAAAATTCTTAATAACAAATTCTCCAACTATTGTAATGCTATCTTAATTCAGTTTCAGTTAAATCATAAATATGATAATTTAATCATTATTATATACTTTGGATATAATTTTTGCTTATTTTTATTTTATTTTAAATAAATACTACATTAAATTTTTGTAAAATTCTCTTAATTATCAAACTTCTTAAAGGAACCAATTAAAAGAGTTTTATTTTATGTAACCACTGAAATGAAAATCAAAGCAGTGATCATTGTTTTTGGTTTGTTAAAAAATTAAAGGTTGTGTATAAAAATGATTAATCACAAAAAACCGCCGTAAGCACAATCATAGGTCAGACTCTCACCAGACCATTTGAAATGTTGCTTTTGGTTAAAGCCATTCCTAATTTCTAATATTCCTTTCTCCAATTGCACAGTGACCCTGCAAATGTGACTTTAGAGATTCCTAGAGCCAGTAGCTTTAATGAGGGGGAATATTATTGTAATGTGACAAACAGTGCTGGGTCTCAAGTTGCTTCTTCTCTCTTGGACATAAGTGGTAAGTAGTGAAATAGCCATTAAAGAAAATGAATTTGGGAAGGTTAAGTAATGAGATTGCAATACAAAATATCAAAAGAATCAGCCCAGGTTTAATAGTGACAAAAATCACAAGATATGTATACATTCTGTATCTTATACTGTAATAAAACCAAAAAGAGTAAATTTTGTAAACTGAAAGACATAAACTATACGATTATAAAGTTGAATGAGGTTTTATTTAATACTTTTTAAAAAAATATTTTTTCTCACTAAAATGTCTCCTCAATGAACAAAATAATATGCAGAATACTTCATCCAAAAATAATATGCAGAATACTTCATAGTACTTAGCAATATAATTTATACCAGTAAATGGCAGTAGTACTTAGCAATATAATTTATACCAGTAAATGGCAGTAATACTTAGCAATATAATTTATACCAGTAAATGGCAGTAGTACTTAGCAATATATTTTATACCAGTAAATGGCAGTAGTACTTAGCAATATAATTTATGCTAGTAAATGGCAGTAGTACTTAGCAATATAATTTATACCAGCAAAAGGCCGTAGTAGGCCTACTTAGCTATATCATTCATACCAGTAAAATGGGGATAAAGCACTCCCTCCAAGCATAAATGAAATTTAAAAAAGGATTTAGACTTAAGCTGTACTAAGCTTAAATGCTAAAATATATAACTATAAACATTATTTTATTTGGCTTTCCTTAAACCGACCTCCAGTGTATAACAATAAACACTATTTGATTTCTGTCCTCAGATCCACCTTCATTGTATAACAATAAACACTATTTGATTTCTGTCCTCAGATCCACCTTCATTGTATAACAATAAAAATTATTTGATTTCTGTCCACAGATCCACCTTCATTGTATAACAATAAACACTATTTGATTTCTGTCCACAGATCCACCTTCATTGTAAAACAATAAAAATTATTTGATTTCTGTCCACAGATCCACCTTCATTGTATAACAATAAACACTATTTGATTTCTGTCCACAGATCCACCTTCATTGCATAACAATAAACATTATTTGATTTCTGTCCACAGATCCACCTCCAGTTATTATAACACCCCAAAATGTCACAGTGATGCCAGGGGAGACGGCTGTCTTATCATGCATTGTTATTAGTACAGTTCCTTACAACATCACCTGGAAACGCAGCAATCAGTATGGACAACTGACCCTTGATCCAAGGATCCGTGCATTTAATAACGATACTCTTATTATAGTGTAGGTTATTTTTATAACACAAACCCATTTTTAAAAAAATGGTGTCTGGCACTATTTGGCCATAAATTTTGCAAAATGGGTTTATTAAAAGAATCTATTTACCTTATGTAAAGACAAAAATAGCATTTTAAAGTTTTTGACTTAATATATGAATTTTGAACTCCCATGGTAACTTAATGAAACGTTTAATTTATTTCATCTTCCTAATTATGGTAATACTAGACCAGTGGTTCTTATCCTGGGTTTGATCGAACCCCAGGGGTTCGGTGAGTCAGTCTCAGGGGTTGGGCGAAGGTCCAAAAAAAAAGTTTTAAAAAAATCATATTTTATTTTTCCTATTAAGAAGGGATTGGTGAATGCGCATATGAAACTGGTGGGGTTCGGTACCTCCAACAAGGTTAAGAACCACTGTACTAGACATTCTTTATCTATTTTTAGTCAGGTAGTCATATAAATTCCCTTTATCACTGTTAATGAAAACCTATTTGCTTTAATATACAGTTTTTTAAATTCTGTTTTTTTTTATTGTTAAACTCTCCTTAAGCCGGCCAGGTTGGGCTATCTTTTAACTTTATTTTCAAAAGAATTGTATTTTATTTATAGAAATGCAGGAAGGCAAGATGAAGGGAGCTATACATGCATTGCATTTAATGAAGGTGGCTCGGCAACAGAAACATTGAGTGTTCGTCTGAAAGGTTTGGTATTTTATTTCACCTTGACTCTTTGAATTAATGCATTGATTTGTCATAAACACTTGTCATTAAACATTATTTTAAAAGTTGTTTATTAGATAGATTATAACTTTTTATTTTTTTGTTGAAATTTTTTACCAATGAACTGTTAAGGATCAATTTACATCTACTTTCCTGTATTTGCTGCACTATTTTAATACAGGTTTTCTTACTTGGCAGATTGGAGGATAAATGCAATAATCTGATTACTCTAGTCCATTGAAAAAACATAATTAATTTTAATTTCACATCAAATTACACAGAGGCAAATGTTACAAACAGTTGAGTAAAATGAAATTAGAATAACCAGTTAAAATGTTGTAATGGTAGTCTTATCAACCATTTCATTTCTTGCTCCACACAGTTACACCTGTGGCTCAGATCTTACCAAATGAACAGACGTTTGTCACCGGGTCGTCTCGTAACTTCACGTGCATAGCCGGGGGTTACCCTGAACCAACTTTCCTGTGGCAACATAACGGGGACGTGCTGCCGACAGGGGGACGCATTCAAGTGGACGGCGGCTACTTGTCGTTCAAGAACCTCAAGCCTTCAGATGCAGGGGATTATGAATGTGTTGCATCAAACTCAGCTGGGTCCAACTCAGTCAAGTCCAAGCTTGTCTATATAGGTAACATATATCACCAACTAACTTGAGTCCAAGCTTGTCTATATAGGTAACATATATCACCAACTAAGTCGAGACCAAGCTTGTCTATATAGGTAACATATTTCACAAACTCAGCCAAGTCCAAGCTTGTCTATATAGGTAACATATTTTACAAACTCATTCAAGGCCAAGCTTGTTTACATAGGTAAATCATTTCAACAAATAAAGTTAAAATAGTTAAGATTAATGTGCCAAATACAAACAAATGTTTAAATCAGGAGGAAACCTAAATGGTTGTATACAGAATATAAAACAAAAGATTTTAAAAAAAAATAAAATAAAAGCATTTTATTAGTTATTTAAAATTGTTGATCATTATATATGGCATCCTTCCATCTTCGTTAGACGATGGAGTAGCTATGTAGTCATACACTTCGACGAGTGGCTCACTAGGCCAATCCTAGAATGACAATGTCGGCCGCATCTCTCGCAGGAGAATATTGTTCTTTAAAATTGTTGATCATTAGCACATCAAGTACATGTGCATAATTGATTAAAAAATGTGTCAAATGATTTTCACCTTTAAGTTCATGCTGTGGAGTAGCTAAGTTTTGTGTGGCCACGAGCAGGCCAAGCTTTTTGCCGCCTTCCTTCCAGACAACAACAAAAAAAAAAAATTTCTAAAAATGCTGCCCCTCAATTTAAAGAACAAAAAAAGTACCACCCTGAGTCGTCTTCCCCCTCTGCACCACACTTCATATGCCCCTGAGCTCATGAAGTCTAGCAGCTAGGTTTTTAAAATTTCATTTTTTAACAAATTTTTATGAAAAACATATGTAACATTCAACATCAGTGCTTAGACATTTGATGACATTTGTTTTATGACATTTTTGTACAGTGCTAGGACATTTGATGTCATTATTATTGTGTTTAATGAACAGTGCTGTGCAGTAAGTTCTATGTTTATGATTTGCAGAGTCGCCCCGTGTGAGAGAATTTGAACGCAAGCTTCTTGTTTCAGTGGGAGATGATGCCAAACTGACATGTGTTGCTGATGGTATTCCACCACCAAACACCACATGGTATCGTTCTGACCGCATGGTAAAATTGTTTGGATAGGCCAATTGTTTAATTTTTGTATTTTGATTCAAACTTTTTGAACAAAAGTGAAAAATTTCTCAACAGTCAACAAGACAAACATTAAAAAATCTCCACCAGTTGATCAAAGAGAAATTACAATGTAATAAGGACATCACTAACATTTTTCTCTTTAAGTGCTGCTTTGTCGCCTACTTGCCCAACACATATACAAACATCATGTATTTCTTCTATTTAACAGCAAACAGTATCGTAAAAATTGGTAAAGGGCCTACAGAATTTATTCTTTCAGCAAAAATTTATTTTAGATCAAAGGACTTTCAGAGGAAATCAATTTTATTTCACCTTAATTCAAAGAAAAAAACTATTAAAAAAAAAATCCTTATCATTCCAGCTCCAACCAGCATACAATGTGGATGTGACCAGGTCTGGTCAGCTTATCATTGAGAATGTCATGGAATCTGACGCTGGCAGTTATCGTTGTGTTGTCCAGAATGAGGCTGGATCAGACTCCGCTGAGCTTACACTGGAAGTTGGATGTATGAAACATGATAAGATATTTTTACATTTGTCTGTTTTATTAGCTTAAAAATATGTTTATAAATTAACATAAAATATTGACAATAAAGAAAATATGCTAACATAGAAATAGTAATGACAATTTTTTTGATTATGGTATTTAACTAAAATATTTTAGCATGCCAAAGTAAACTATGAATGTTTTAATAACTTAAGGTGACATATATTTAAGAACCTCCACTCAGATATATATTTTATGAAAACCATTTTTTTTAAAAAAGGAAATTGGATACAAAAAAGCAGGTATACAATGTTTAAAAGTTGAGCATTAAATTATTTAAATAGTTTCACCCTAAAATCGCAACAACAAAAAATTATACCATTTTAAAAGTTTGCTATGTACTCAATCGTGTGTTGGGATTCTCATGTAATCATCTCTTCCAGCCCCTCCTGAGATCATCCAGCACCCAGAAAACATTGGCATTGACATAGAGACGAATGGCTCACTCCCATGTCAAGCCATAGGGAGGCCATTGCCAAAGCTGAGCTGGAGGCGTGAAGATGGGAAACCTTTGGATTTAAATGGAAAATTTAGACAACTGCCTTCAGGAGCTTTGGAGATTATCAGTGCGTGGGCCTGCCAACAAAATACTAACCCAATTATAGACTGATTCATCCAGTCTGTGTGTGTGTTTTTTTTTTTCTTCATATTTCACCAGCATGTCTTGTCACAGATTAAAACATCTCTTGTGTATTTTCTTAGCTTAAATATATTCTTTTATTAAAAATTAAATACAATTTGTTAAATTTTAAAAAAAAGTTTAACTGTAAAGAAGTTCTATATTCTTTTAGATTTGTTGCATTACTAGCATTCTCCTCCTTTGAACTACCACCCTCTTCAGTATCTCCCAACATCTCCAACAAAATCCCAGCCCCCTCAGGCCATCCACCCCATCTATCTCTTTTTGAAAATATCAATTTTGTTAACATGGTCTAACAAGGCCTACAATTTAAATAAGATTTGCTGGAAGCATTTGCCAACCCACAGATTTTAATGGCCTCCATTTCAGAATCAGAGGCAGACATGTTAGCATTGCACCACGTTGCTGACTGTTTTAACTTATCTTAGTTAATGACAATTAGGGAAACGTTCTAATTCCCCCCCATGACCTTGATATATGACCTTGATATATGACCTTTAACATTGCTGACAGACACCTGTTAGAATTTATTTACTGATTTATTTTCTATTTTTAGAGACAACAGCTGTTTCTCTCTTTGATCATTTAAAATAAGATAAATGCATCAATTGGAGATGTGAGTAAATAAAACACTTTCTTACCCCCAGATATTCAGCAAGGAGATGATGGAGTCTACACCTGTGTAGCTCAGAACCCATTTGGTATTGCTGAAGCTGATGCCATGGTTAGTGTTACAGGCATAGGTGAGTTATGCCCCCCCCCCCCCCCCCCAATATTTAATCAAATTTTGTTTCTTTAAGTACAAAAAATAAAAAAAATAAAAAACATATTTTTTGCATCCAGCAAAATAAATTTTAGTTCAATGGTACTTATAAAAATGACATTCTTTTCACTTTTTTCTTCAAAAATAAAATGCACATATTTGATTTTTTTTTTCATTAATAAAAATACTAATTATTACACTGTTGCAAATATTTCAGTACGTCCTCTGATAGCATACACATATCCATATGTGAAAGTTGTTGAAGGAGAATCAGCAGAACTGGAATGTATTGTTCTGTTGGGAAAACCAAAACCAAAACTTTCATGGCTTCGTAATGGTAAACTTTTACGTGAATCTGACAGAGTTCGCTTTCTAGAGCCGGGACGGATCACGCTAACTAATGCCCAGGAAGATGATGATGGAGACTACGTCTGCATGGCAAGCAACATTGGAGGAAACGAGACATATAATGTTAATCTTGATGTTTTAGGTAATCACCCTAGGTTATATGTGTAGGTCAAATCAATGTGGGAGCCGGAATGATCAATATATTGATCATAGGCCCTCAAACTATAGAAGAAGAAATCTTGCCTTAGGATGATTCAAACAGAATAACTTAAGATAACTGACTCCAGTATATATAATAAGCTTAAGATATGCAAGGTATTAAAAAAAAAATTAACTCATTATTTACTTAATGGAACATGTAATTATGGTCCGTGATTTTAAAATAATATGTGATATAATTTTGCTCTTGTTATAATGGCTTTTGGGTATTAAGCATTTTCAATAATCTGTTCAGTTGCAATAGGAATAAGCCCATGAGCAGCAAAAGAAAGATACAAGAATGGGCAGCTGTATTCTGATTTATGCTTGCAAAACCTAACCTACCTGCATTGACCAATGAATTTCAGTCCCACCCAAGGTGATTGAAGACAATGATGTGGACAGACAGACCAACTTTTCCGTGGTACAAGGTCTCAGTGTCTTCCTGCCGTGCAGTGTCACGGCAGACCCCCCAGCAACCTACTCCTGGTTCAAAGGGGGCAGCCCCATCTCCTTCACAGACATCAGATACTACATCCGCATGGACGGAGCTTTGGAAATCTTCAGTGCAGATGTTCAGGATACATCCCAGTACAAGTGCATTGCTTCGAATGTTGCTGGAGAGGTGGAGAAAGTTGTGAGCCTATTTGTAGAAGGTTTGTCTACCGATAGAATTTTCCTCAAATTCATTTTATATTAAGTTTCACGGTTGTTAAAATTGTTTTTGGATTGGTTAAAAATTGGCAAAATATCTATAATAAAACAAAAAAAATAAATTACACAATTTATTTCTACAAAACCAATGACAAATATCTATATATTATTTATAAATAATTTATATGTCTTTATGTATAAAAGTATTGCTTTCCCATTTTTACAAGTCCATCCTTAAATATAAAAAATTAAAATGTTTAAGGTCAATTTACATCAAGAAGCCTTTTTTTTTTAAATTGATGAAACTGTTTGAAAACCTATCATAAAAAAGTAAAATTCTTTCAATGCCAAAACTTGTTTAAGATGTTCCAACAGAATTTGTAATCTCTTTGAAAAATCTAATGCAGTTCCACCTTTGATTGCTGGTGAGCTGGAAGAAACCTACGAGGTCAACCTGGGTGATCCCATCTTGCTGCCTTGTGAAGTGTCGGGAATCCCTAGACCTAAAGTCAGCTGGAAACAAAACTTTATGCCTCTGACCCCTGACCCACAAAGAATTCAAGTTCAGAACGGCGGGCTATACATAGCCAGGGCACAAATATTGGACAAGGCAATTTATGAGTGTCTGGCAAGCAACGTGGCTGGAGATGTTTATAAGATTATAACCCTTGTTGTTTACAGTAAGTTTCAATATTCAACAATTCATTTTCTTGTATGGTCTTCTTTATGAAGTTATTTTTATTGTATAATTAATAAGAGAAATAGAATACAATTTAAAAAAAAAAAAGTATTCAAACTATAAAAGAAACAAAATCACTTTTCACATATTTACAATGTTACCATTGTAAAAAGTTTGCATTTTAAATTAATATTTTGAGGTAAAGTGGATTTTAAAATCAACAGTTCTTATTCATATAAATTTTTTTTAAACAGGGAATTTAATTAAAAAATTTTTTTTTGGTCAGTACCCCCTTCGATAGAACAAGGCCCAACTGCCGTGACGGTGCTCTATGGGCAGCCGGCTCTACTGGAATGTGAATCTGTTGGTGACCCACCCCCCACCGTCCTGTGGAGGAAGAATAATGTCATCTTAGACGCCGACGACACGGACAGAGGTTACCAAATATCCCCACGGGGATCCCTCACTATTAAATCAGCGGTGTTGACTGACGGTGGCGTCTACTCATGCTCAGCCACCAACCCTGCCGGTGTTGCTAGCAGAGAGGTTGCGCTGACGGTTCATGGTGGGTGGAAGATTTTTGTAGTCTCAACACTCGTTTTCTGTCAGTTTTTTAAACTAAACTAAACCTTTTTAGTTTACATGTTCCCATGTAATGGATATCCTCGATTTAAGACTTGAAATGGAAATGTAAGTAATGAAGTTATATCGACGACATCTAATTTATTTCTTAATTTTAAACTCTTGTCCTCTATTTGATTTTAAACTAAGATAAATTATTTAGTTTATAAATTACTATTAATTAAATTTCCCCTGATTTAGGACTTTAGATAGCTAAATATGAACTTTAAGTAATAAAGAATCTTTTAAATTATGAATGTGTATATATATATACATACATAGATTCATATAATTCATATAATATATAAATATATATATATATATATATATATACAGCGTTATGTGTTATCATGTTTGAATTGTTGCATCAAATTCCATTAAATTACTGAGTATTTGTTCGTTTGAAAAGGCTAGACTGCTGTAAAACTGAACATTTTGACTGTTATGGCAAGTTTTTAGATTTTTTTTTATTAAGCTGTAATAGAAACATATGGCATTGGCAATGTACTTGTCAGCTTGTTACAGCATGCAGATTCTCTTTACTTTCCTGCAGGTGCTCCTGAAATCCCAGGGGTGTATCCAGAAAAGAATGTAGTTGTAGAGAGAAATCCGGTCATCCTACCTTGCCCCGCGGTCGGTACGCCTAAACCTAAGATAACATGGTACAAAGACAATGTCCCCATTGAAGAAGACCCCGGTGTTGTTCAGCTTGAAGATGGTTCTCTAAAAATTGATGATGCTAGAGCAAAAGATTCTGGACATTATGAATGTGTGGCAGAGAATGTGGCTGGAGTGGCCACCAGGAACTTTGATTTAAAGATTTTAGGTTAGGAGATTATTTATGGGCAAATCGAGCACACTCTCAGGTCATTTAGAATAATTTAAAAAAAATAAGATGTAAAAGTGAATGTTGATCACATCCTTGAATACCACAGGGAAATGTTAGAGGAAACATTTATATGTTAATCCTTAATTTATTGGCTTGTTTCCCACAGTGCCACCGAAGCTCACTGTCCCCAATGGAGCAGCAGGTCCCGAAAAGTCCAAAGTTGTCATCGATAGAAACGTGACACTGCTGTGTCCCATCTCTGAGGAGACGGACCCACCGCCAGTCATCACGTGGTACAAAGATAACACGGAAATCAAGGGGGACAACCGCATCACCATTACAAATCAGGGGAGATCTCTGACGATAACTAAATCGGCGGTTGAAGATGAAGCTCGCTACCGTTGTGTTGCGAGCAATGAAGCTGGTGAAGTTGAGAAATATTTTACGTTAGATGTACAAGGTAAAAAAATGCCTAATTCAGTTATTAGAATGTGTGGCATATTTTTTTTAAAAAAATGTATGATAATTCAAAAACAGGCTAAATATGAAAAATTATGTAAAAGTTTTTCAATAGTCATTGGTCTAATAGAAAATATTAAAATATAGGCTACCACCTACAACTTTTTAAAATATTATCTGATATATTTGCCATAGGAATTACTTCAAAAATATTATTGACACATTATAATATCAATGAGATTTTGTTAATGTATAAACAACAAATACTACTACTAGCAAGGAGCTCTCACCATTCCACATAAGAAACATTCTCAATTACTATTTACAGTCCCGCCGAATATTGATGAGGCTGGTTTATCTCCATATAATCAAAGTGTTGTCACTGGCCAATCCTTATACATCAACTGTCCAATACAAGGCAAACCCCCACCACAGGTCAGTAGAACTGTACATGGCAATGTTGTAATACAGTGTCACCTAGTGCGTACATCACAGATGAACAAAGGAGGATATACATTTTTTTTTTCCTGTCTCCAAATTCAAGTGTCAAACAAATAAATTAATGCAAGATTTATTTGCTTAATTGTTGGTTAAAATCTGTGAAAAATAAACCAAAGTCATGGTTAAAAATAAATCAAAGTCATTCAATTATAAAGCAGCACAAAAAAAGATGCTTAAAGGTTCAGAACTGTTATTAAAAACCTTCAAGTTTAGGCTTAAGTAGTTTTTATAAGAGTACAGCGTAGATATTAGCCTATCAACAGAAAATAAAGGCATAAGTCTTGAAATTTTTTAACACTATTAATTAATCGTTGGTAAATTTATCAAATCTAAGGTCAGATGGTTAAAAGATGGAGAACCCATGGCAGCCGGATTTGATGCAAATGTTAGAGTTTTAGCAGAAGGACGTCGACTTGAGCTCCTCAGTGCCAAGGTGACAGATAGAGGGCGCTATGTTTGTATCGGTGAAAACATTGCAGGACAGACCACAAGGGATTTCTTCGTAAATGTTTTTGGTAAGTCTATCCTTTAAAATTAATCACAGCTTTTCATTTATTTTTTTGTTATTCATTCAGTAGCAGAAAATCTAAAGGTACTGCCTTACCAAATGTTTGTTGCAGCCACAAATCTCAGTGGTGAATCCGTGTTGAGAATCCATGCCAAAGACATTCATCGCGGGTGTGCTCACTGAGCAGGCACAACTATGGCATCAATTTATCAATTTTAACTTATGTGCTAGCGCAATGTTCAGCCGCTTCATATGACTCTTTCAATAAACAAATTCACCTTATTCTTTTAAATATATTATATTTTAATATGTTATATATATAAATAACCACCCCCGCAAGGGAAAATTAAAACTTAAAAAATACAACTTTTTATTGTTTAATTAATTCCATTTATATAAAACAAGGCATTGTTCCTCTAAAATCTTTTCTCCTCTTGCCCACTCCACTAAAATCAAAATTGAATTTATTTAACTAATTTTATTCTTTCAACTACAACATTTGACTAATATCAAATACAGCTAATAATTAAAATGTGTAAATAAGGCAGCTGATATTAAATTCATTGTGTTTTTTGTGTGTGTCTGGCCACTCCCTTTTCTACTGGTTGCTATGCTATTAACCTGTCACCTGAGGACAATGCATGCACATTGATGAAAATATCACAGGTTTTTTTTTTGTATATTCCCAGCCAATAACATGCTGCAACACTAAAAAACCCCAGTGAAAATGAAACTTGTTGGCCCTGCTTTTGTTGCAGGGAGTAGCACAGTAGCATGTGATCATAGAAAGTTGAGAATCCAAGTAGAAAAATCTCCAAATAGAATGTTGAGAATCAAAGTAGAAAATCTCCAATATGAACATACTTTTAGAGAACATGAACGCACCTTTAGAGAACATGAGAACATGAACACACCTTTAGAGAGCATGTATATATGAACAATGAGAACAAACACTAAAAAAAAAATTAAATTAAATCTGTTTCTTAAAAGCAAGTATTTGAATAAATGACCACTTGAGCTGGCAGCATCATCAAACTAAGAATCCATTAAAAAAAAACAACACAACTTTTATGTCGACTACATGTTTACAGTGCCTCCATCTGTTGAGCAGCCAGAAATTCCAGAGAAATCTGAAGTCATAGAGGGAAACACTCTGCAGCTCACCTGCCCGGCCTCAGGTATACCCTTGCCGACAATTTCTTGGTTCAGAGAGGAAGTCCACCTCAAAGTCAATACATCAAAGGTTTGTTTTTAAGTAGACTTTGAGATGTAAAAAAAAAAATCTCCTTAAAACATCATTAATACCTTAAAATCATAGCATCTACCCCTGAAAGGGACTTAAAGAAGTGTGGAAGTCAGAAAGGCATGGGTGGGTGGTAGGTGGGTCTGCACAAATTTAGACTGTCTCTAGGTGGGTCTGCACACATTTAGACTGTCTCTAGGTGGGTCTGCACACATTTAGACTGTCTCTAGGTGGGTCTGCACAAATTTAGACTGTCTCTAGGTGGGTCTGCACAAATTTAGACTGTCTCTAGGTGGGTCTGCACAAATTTAGACTGTCTCTAGGTGGGTCTGCACAAATTTAGACTGTCTCAGCAGGATGGGGAGTGATTTTGACAATTTAAATAAAAAAAAAAAAAAAAAAAAAAAAAAAAAAAAGAGGAAGGAAAAAAAAACAGCTGATAATGATGTGTTATGGGTGTTTTTGTATCACATCCTGTAAAGCTGGTGAATAGCAAATGAATCTGTTTATGTTATTTTCTCATGTCTCCTTTTTAACATACAAGTACCATTAAATTTTACAATGTTATTGATTATTGTAAGGACTGGTTTGTTTCACTTCTTTGCCTGTGGTCAGATCACTCTGCTTGACAACGGCTGGACTCTGGAGATACAAGACACCAATGTCTCAGATGCCACGAGATATTACTGCCGTGCTGAAAATGTGGCAGGGCAGACGGAAAAAGTCTTCGATATTGATGTTTTGTGTGAGTATTCATTTCTATTGCATTAAAAATATAATTTCAATACAAAAACTGCACCATAAATTTTTGTTTTTCTGAAGTATACGTTAAAATTTTCTTTTTAATGGGCTTCGTAACTGAGATATTAAAAAATGTTTGCTACCATTTTATGATTCTAAAACTCTGTAGTAAAAATAATCTGTAGACTGTAGTAAAATGAGTGATTAAAACGCATCTAGGCCTTTGAGTGATCTGGAAAATGCTAGTGGTTGAGGTAATTTAACCTGACTAAATGTAATATTCTTTTGCTTCCCAGTACGCCCGGTCATCAACAGAGAAAACATTGACACAAAACCTGAAGTCATTGCCAACAACACGGCTGTCATTAACTGTCAGGTGACTGGCAATCCACAGCCAGAGCTGATATGGTGAGTTTTGGTTCTTCAAACTTTTAGCAACAACTCGTCAAACTTAATTTGTTTCTTTTCATCAGAAACACTCTGATTATGGACTATAAAGTTATAAGGGGGGTAAGGGAAGTTAAAGGGGTCTGTAAGTTATAATAGCCTGTAAGTTATAGTGGTGTATGAAGTTATAGTTGTCTGTGAAGTTATAGTGGTCTGTAAGTTATAATGGTCTGTAAGTTATAATGGCCTGTAAGTTATAATGGCCTGTAAGTTATAATGGCCTGTAAGTTATAGTGGTGTGTGAAGTTATAGTTGTCTGTGAAGTTATAGTGGTCTGTAAGTTATAATGGCCTATAAGTTATAATGGCCTGTAAGTTATAGTGGTGTGTGAAGTTATAGTTGTCTGTAAGTTATAGTAGTTTTAAAGTTATAGTGGTCTGTAAGTTATATTGGTCTCTAAGTTATAGTGGTCTCTAAGTTATAGTGGTCTCTAAGTTATAGTGGTCTCTAAGTTATAGTGGTCTCTAAGTTATAGTGGTCTCTAAGTTATAGTGGTCTCTAAGTTATAGTGGTCTCTAAGTTATAGTGGATTGTGAAATTATAGTGGTCTGTAAAGTTATGGTGGTCTGTAAAGTTATAGTGGTCTGTGATGTTATGGTGGTTTGTAGTTTATAGTGTGGAAAAATATAAACTGAATAATGATGTGTCAATTTCATAAATCATTCAACTGGATCAGCTAGATTAACTTAAGGATTCACTACAAAAGTAAGACTCTTCAAGTCTAAAACTGATAGAATTTTGAAGCGTTCATTCATTATCTTTACACAAGTGAATGCTTTAAATAGGATCCTCTTTCTAAAAATTATTTCATACAAATTTCAATTGTTGACTAATTATTCAATATGAATAAATTCAGGTACAGAAATGGTGTATTACTGGATGCCACTAACAACCCTAGGTATGAAATTCTGGGTTCCGGAAGACAACTCCGCATTTATCCAGCCCAGGTCAAGGACAAAGGTCGCTACACATGTCTTGCAAGCAACAGAGCCGGTAAAGATGAGCTGGATTTTGAATTGTCCATTTTTGGTGAGTGAGGATTGATCCTGTGGTTGAAGTCAATCAAAAATTGTATTTCTCTGTTAATTTACAACTGCATTTCTTCCTTTGTTTCTTTAAAACATAAAGAAAAATAACAATCAACAAATAGGCCAATTAATCCTAGTAAAATTCTCTCTTACTTTACATAATATTAGGGCACAAAGGAACAATATCTTTGTTAAACATTCTTATCTCGTCCACATACGTTCAACATCAACATGTTATAGCATATTTATTATGATTAGTTTCATCATGTTATTTCCCTTGACATATTAAAAAGTTGAAACAACTGTTTTTACTCCAAGATGAGTTCTTTGATCTAATTTTTTTTTTTGAAAACTTAAAATTGTTAATCCATGTTTTTCTTAATTATAATGCGTATTGATAAATAGCTTAATATTTTTATTAATTTATAAAGACCTATTTTATATTTATCTTTTATATCTTGGCTTGCTAACAGTGGCCACTTACCACGCAGATTTTTGTGTGTGATGCTTTTCAGTTCCTCCAAGAATTGACCGCCAAGCAATAAGCTTCCAGCCAAAAGTAATCATCAACAGTTTTGTGACCATACCCTGTCCCACTGTGGGTGTGCCCACTCCAAAAATTGTTTGGTTCAAGGACGGACAACCTGTAGAGACGAGGGTGGGTGTGATCGAGGCCAGAGCCAACGGAACTGAACTAGTGCTACAGCAAGCCCAGGTGGTGGACAGTGGTCGCTACAGGTGCGTGGCCACTAACCAGGCAGGGGAGGATAGCCTCATCTTTAATCTCGAAGTACAAGGTAAAAAATATTTGTTGTATTTGACTATAAATAAAATCATCTTGTTGCTTCCCTTTAGTAATAGCAATTCATGAGTTTGAAACTGGGTCAAGAATTAAGACATAATTGTCAAAATAAGGCTAATGAACAAATATGTAAAGTAGGTTTATTTTAATATCCCATATTTGATCGTGTGTGCATAACAATTACCACAGGAAGTATAAAAAAACCTTAATTTCATGACTGCCCATATGGTTAAATTCTAATGTCTTATTCTAACTCTATTTCAAAACTGTGACATATTTCAGCGGAACAGTTTTTTAAAGTTGCTAGTTTAACTGTAGCATTCGATTGTAAATTTCAGATATGTTATCTTAGCCTGAAAAATATTTTATACCTCTAATCCCACCTTCCCACCTTCAGTCCCACCTTCCATTCCATCCGAGAACATTAATGTGGACTTAAATGTCATTGAGAATGACACAACAACATTAGAATGCCCTGCCGTGGGTGTCCCCGAGCCCACCATTATCTGGTACCTGAACAGTTCACCCCTAGACCCGGAGCTGCAACCTGGGCTCACTCTTAGTGAATCAGGCAAGCAGTTGATGATCACACCCACCAAGGTCACGGACACCGGGGTGTACACGTGTATTGCCTCTAATGAGGCTGGGGAAGCTGAGCAGACTTACAACGTCGAAGTTTGGGGTATGGACTCAAAACATTTTATTAGCATTATTCCTCAAGATTTATATGTCCATACAAACATTAGCAAATCATAATATATGTTTTTGTGCACATTATATAGGCCTACATATTAAATCACCATGTTACATAATATTAGTTTTTAAAAACTTTAACTTTAAAAAAAGTCCAAAAATAGCTTATTTTCTATGCAAACATCATATTTTGGTGTAAATGCATTTTGATAAAAACACTTTAATATTTTTTTTAAAATTTACTGTTAAAATTTTAAAAAATAGACCCTGTAGGTACATAAAATTCAAATTTTTTAGGTACTCAATTTGATTTAACAAATTTTCTCTGTTAATAAAAAATTGTTTTTTCAAATTTTTGTGTCTGCAAATTAACTTCAAACTTTAACTTATCGACAATTTGGCGTTGATGGTTTAGGGCTTCGTCAGTTGTCTAACAACAAAGAGCAGTGAGGCAAAAAATTTTTTTTAAAGTAATAGGGAGAATATTTCAGAGCTAAATGGAAGATGTGGAATTTGTCCATGACAATCAACATGTCAGGTCATATTGTGTTTCATGGTGAAAAAATAAAACATAGAGGCATTAACATTATGATTGGTTAAAAAAATATATGTTGTAGTTAATTAATTTATTTTAGATTCTTTAAACTCAGATTTCCTAAAAATATTAGATTTATTAAGTAAGTCAGGAATGATATTATTATATTAAAACTATTTTCATTTGTGTTTAGTTCCTCCTGCCATAGATAAATCAGCCCTACAGGCACAGCCCAGAGTCATTAAAGGTCACACCATCAGCATCAACTGTCCAGTCTCTGGCATTCCCTTCCCGACCATCACCTGGCTCAAAGATGGCCAAGAAATGACTCGAGATGCCCGTGTTCAGTTTTTGAGCAATGGTCTGCAGTTACGAGTTGCTGATGCCCAAGAAGAGGATTCTGCAATCTATTCCTGCTTGGCTAAGAATCCTGTAGGGGAAGACAAGGCTGATTTCGATTTGGCTGTGTTGGGTAAGTTGTGCCGGGTTAGTTGGACTGGGTTAGTTGAATTGGGTTGGGTTAGGTGGGCTGGGTTAGTTGTGCTGGGTTAGTTGTGCAGGTTTAATTGGTCTGGGTTAGGTGGCCTGGCTTAGTTGGGCTGGGCTAGTTGAACTGAGTTAGTTGGGCTGGGGTGATTGAGCTGCGTTAGTTGGGCTGGGCTAGTTGAACTGAGTTAGTTGGGCTGGGGTGATTGAGCTGCGTTAAAACAAATTAATGTCTAATAATTTGAAGAAAACTATAACTATCTTATTACAATCTTTTTTTTACCAGATTCATTCACAAAATAATGTTGGTTCATCTTGATGGCATGTTAGCTTACTCATTTTTAATATCCACATTTCCAGTTCCCCCTTCCATCGATGAATCCAATGTTGTTTATGACCGAAAAGTCAATGTGGACAGAAGAGTTCAGCTGGAGTGTCCAGTGCATGGAATTCCTATCCCCACTGTTGAATGGATGATCAATGGGCAGCCAGCTAAAAAATTTGAGCACATTGTGTAAGTAAACAGTAAACCCCACTAATTAACCTTTGAGCATGTCTGAGTCTGCTTATCATACTGTAGATTGCGATACATGTTTATCAATATAATAAAATCTCCGACTTAGGATCAGCAGCAGAGTGAAAAGTGTTTAATTCCCTAAGTTCCAATCAGTTAAATAATTATTTCACTTGTATGTCTATTCCATGTGCAAAGGAAGGGGAAACTTGGGGCGGGGGGTGGGGGGGCGGCTGTTCTTTCCCAAGTGGCACATTTGTTCTGTATATTGAGGGATGGCATTTTCGGCAGGGGGGCTAACCATATTTAGGTTGTTGATCTGTTGAGATGCTTTCATTTTGCACTCATTTCACTATGCCTATTAATTTAAAAAAAAATACCTTTAACCATGACCTATAGTTTTACAAAGCAAGCTACAGTTGTCAATTATAATTTTATGAGAAGAAAAAAAATCTCTTTCAAATTACCTTTTTTTTTCTTTCTGCTCTTCATATTTCAGGAAAATTAAATGTTAAATCCAACATTAGAGAGCAAAAATCAAACATAAATTGTGTTTTTTAGAAAATAAAATGTCATTTTACCCAAAATTTCAAAATCAGCTTGCTAGTATATTATTATTTCTAAATAGGAAGGATCATAAGTTAATATTTTGCAAAACACATAGCCCAAATTTATTCTGAGGAGCAATGTAACAGTAGTTTGTGTCATAAAATGTTTATTTTTATAATCTTTCTATAGATTGCTAAGTAACAACCGCATCCTTGAAATAGAAAAGGTCTCAGTCAGGGACACAGCCCTGTACACTTGCATAGCCAGCAATGAAGCAGGACAGCTTGAGAGGAACTTCAACCTGGAAATACTTAGTTGGTTTTCTCTCATTAATTGTTGTGTTTCTTTTGTAGTTTTCGATTTTATAATATGTTAATAATGTTTTGACAGTTTTGAAGAGGCTAATTTACTTAATCCAGTGGCAATAAATAAGGGATGTATAGACCTTGGCAAAAAAGGTTATTTAAGAGAGAGCGGTCCGCGTCTATTTCCATGGCCGCCATCTTGGTTGCCTCGACCCGCGCACTTTTATGTGTTCACTGGTCGAGGCAACCAAGATGGCGGCCATGGAAAATTAAAATAATTCACTGAAGAAAACGTTACAAATGTATGAAAAAATTGTCTTAAATCGATCCCTATGCCTAACCCTTACCCTAATCGATCCCTATGCCTAACCCTAACCCTAAATCTATCCCTATGCCTAACCCTTACCCTAAATCGATCCCTATGCTTAACCCTAACCCTAAATCTATCCCTATGCCTAACCCTTACCCTAAATCGATCCCTATGCCTAACCCTAACCCTAAATCTATCCCTATGCCTAACCCTTACCCTAAATCGATCCCTATGCCTAACCCTAACCCTAAATCTATCCCTATGCCTAACCCTAACCCTAAATCTATCCCTATGCCTAACCCTAACCCTAAAGCGATCCCTATGCCTAACACTTACCCTAAATCGATCCCTAAGCCTAACCTGAACCTTAAAAACTAGCCGTAAATCCACAAGTGAAAACACATGGAATTTCACACTTTGGCAAGAAAAGTATAAAAATTAACAAAAAACAATAAAAAAGGGCCTCAAATAATTATCAACTGAAGAAATAATGAAAATCCAACTTACAGTTTCATGCAATACACTTTTACACACTTTATTTCAGGTTTTAATGAAAATATAGCCACAAAATGAATAAATCTCCACACCCCACAGACACCCCAAAGATATCAAATGTGGCAGAACAAAAGAAATATGATAATGAGCCAACCAATGAAAATTTTAAAATTATTATTAATCAACCAATAAAATTTTAATTCCGAAAATGTAACTCTTTTAACAAAAAATAAGAAAAAAATAAGGGGAGTGAATCCAAATTAAAGTCGTCGTGGGCCGCTCAATCTGAAACAGCCGCAAAAAATAAATGATGTATGGAATATGACAATAAATAAATGATGTATAGACTATGACAATAAATAAATGATGTATAGACCATGGCAATAAATAAGTGATGTATAGACTATGACAATAAATAAATGATCTATTGACTATTGCAATAAATAAACTATTTATAGACTAAGGTGATTATTATAATACAGGTTAATGTTTTAATACAAGCCTTTAACAAAATACTATGGCATGAATGAAAGTAAATATTATCATGACACACACAGTAGGAAGTTTTAGAATATTGATAATTTATATTTAAAACCTATTTTTCCTTAGTCCCTCCAACTATTGACCAGACTGGACCAGGTAACCTAATTGTGGTTCAAAATGACACCATCAGGATTCATTGTCCAGCCACTGGAATACCTGACCCCGACATTATGTGGATGAAAGAAAAGGTTTGTTTCACTGATACTTTCTGGATTCAGATTTTTTAATAGCCCCATGCCTTATCATGACTCAGTTTATTATATATATTATATATGAGAGCTAGCCCGCCAGTTCTGTTTGAATCTCATCAGAGATGTTTTTTTGGCACCTAAGACAAACAATTTTAAAATAGGTTTTATTATAAATGCTGCATGTTGTCATAATTTTTCAATAAAACAGTAACAGTGGTCATGGCAGGAACACTACCAGTTGCTGAGCCATCTTTCAGTGTCTTGAATTTATTCAAAATGCTCATTTGCATTTTAAAATTAAATACCATATCAGGATTTAAATAATTGTGTATTTTGGTCAAGTGAATACATTCTCATTGCTTTCTTCCATAATTTGATATCTATATTTGTCAAGTAAAACATATTTCGGAATACAAAAAAAAGGGAGAAAAAAAAATGGGGGGGGGGGGGTGTGATTGACTTGTCTAATCTTTACTCCTCTAATCTTTACTCCTCTAATCTTTAGCTAAAAAATCAGCATAGTCAGAAGATATGGTTCAATTAAAATAAAAGTCTTACATTTTTCAATGTTTGGATTTGCATCATTGATTCAATGTTACTTTTGGGTCTAATGTGTCTGATGTATGATGAAGATTGTCCAATGTGTCTGATGTATGATGGAGATTGTCTAATGTGTCTGATATGCTTGATGGTGATTGTCCAATGTGTCTTATGTATGTTGGAGACAGCCGTATGACATCCTATTGCCTCCTAGTTTGGATTACGAATTTAAACATTTAAAAAAAATGTGTTTATTTGTTGTACCGCAACCCACTTGCTGCTCCCAAATTGATTGTCTTCTTGTCAACAAAGTCCAAAAGGTTGTTTAAGTCATTCATCTTTTGTTACAGAGGCCTTTCCTGGACTTCCCATATGTAGAGCTCCGTCTTCTCAATGATGACCAGACTCTGGAGATCAGCAATGCCCAGCTGGATGATGCAGGGAACTACAGCTGCCGGGCATCAAATCCTGCTGGTATAGATGACAGAGCATTTAGTCTTCAAGTTCATGGTAAAACATTATATTTTGTAACAGTAATTATATAATGTAATAGTGATCTTATATTGTAATAGTGATTATATCATATTGTTTTTTAGTAAGCTTTAAGAGTGAATATTGTAATGGTTTCCACATTGAAATAATGTAAATATAAAACAAAAACATTTTAATTGTGTAAATATGAAACAAAACATTGTAGTTCTGTAAACATGGAAAGTAATTTGTAAAAGTGAAAAAAAAAAATTAAATAGCAGATTTTAAAAATGTTCTTATCTTGTTGAGTATTAAAAAAAAATCTCTCTCCAATTTTGACATTTTGTAAAAAAAAAATCTTTCATTAATGGAAAGTGTAAAAAGAAGTCAGACTTTTTCCCCTCAGGATGAATTCTAAAGGATCTGTTAGCACTCTCTCTCTCTGAAAATTTACTAGTGAGAGTTTTTGGCAAATCTAACAAAATCTGAAAGGCCGGACTTTTAAAACTATACATTAATATTTTTATATGCACGCAATCTATAAAGGCACACATTTGAGTCTATCGTCCTTATTTAAAAAAACAAACTTTTAATTCTAGTTAATTTGTTATTTATTCCATCGACCACAGTGCCCCCTTTGATAGGCAAGCCAACACCTGACAAACTTCATGTGATTGAAGGGCAGTCCATCTCAATGAGGTGCTCTGTAACGGGCACTCCAGAGCCTTCTATTCTGTGGTTAAAGGATGGAGCCGTCATTTTGGAAGACAAAAATGGTCATAAGCAAGTATGTCAATTTTTTAACTTTACTATTACAAAAATCAGTCTTGACTTGTACAAGCGTAAAGGGAATCATTAACCCTGTGACAACTACCATTTCATACCTTTGCTCTCTATTGCTGGCAAGGTACTCGCTATAGTCCTTCTAAACCATCTTAATTCCTATCTTGAGAAGGGCCTCTTGCCAGAAAGTCAATTCTGTTTGCACAAAGACGACATAACTATTGATATTGTATTCGTGGCCAGACAGCTGAAGTAAAAGCATCAGGAAAAGAATAATGACCTCTTCTCCACCTATGTAGACCAGACAGTGTCACTAGAGAAGGTCTCTGGAAGATCATGGCCAAATATGGATGCCCAAGAAAGTTCATTTCATTGGTGCAGCAATTCAGTGATATTATGCACGTTCAGGAAAATAGAAAGATGTCCCAATCATTCCTCATGTCTAATAGTGTCAAACATGGTTGTGTCCTGGCACCAACACTTTTCAGTCTCATGTTCTCTGCCACGTTGTCTGATGTTCTCAGTGAGGGAGACATTGGATTTGGCATCGGATACTGCATAGATGGTAAAGTTTTTAACCTCAGGGGATTCCGTGCTAAATCCACCGTCCTGACAGACATCATCAGGAACTTTCTGTATGCAGACGCCTGTGCCCTAAACACTGAATCAGGGGGCCAATACGCAATGCAGTGTTGCCAACATCTCAGACGCCTGCACAAGCTTTGGTCTTACCATTAAAACAAAAAAGCCTCAGGTCCTGCACCAACCAGCTCCTTGCTGAGCCCAGTGTCCAAGTCAATAGTGAAAGGCTTAAAGTAGTAACAGCTTCTCTTATCGTGGCAGCGCACCGTCCCAAAGTCTAACCATCAATGATGAGGCAAAAATTTGAATTCGAAGAGCCAGCGCAACCTATGGAAAAATGTCTAAGAATGTGGGGACAAGGAGAGGCATCAGCATCCAAACAAAAACAAACGTTTAGAAGGTGGCTATGCCCTTGATGCTACTATATGCAAGTGAAACATGGACAGTCTATCATAACAGTGATATTAACATTTGATGTTCTTGATAAAAGGTTACATAAAAAATTTAAATGCTTTAAAAAATTGGCTACATGGGACCAGTAATCCACAATATTAACCTCTGAATTTGAAAAAATAGGTATTGGACAATGACATGACCTTACAAATTGTTGATGCCCATCCGGTAGACAGAGCCAGGTACACCTGTCATGCCGAGAACCATGCTGGCTTTGCTGAGAAATACTTTGACCTGGAAGTATATGGCAAGTTATTTTTTAAAAACTAATGTAATTGAAATCCAATTAGATAATAGACACCTTCATAAAACTGTTCTTTTTTATTTAAACACTGCTCACTTGGTGTAGTTGGTCATAAATAAATTTGTAATAATATTACAAATTTCAGGAGTCAGAAACAGCATCCATTTTGGCCAAATAATATGAATCATTTCTTTTTTTCGGGGGTGGCCGGGGGGTGGGGGGTGGGGTTAGCTATTTACCACAAAAAAAAAAAATTTCATTCCAAAATTTAAACAGTTTCTTCATTTACAGACTTTTTGAAATGGGTTGAACTACTGATGTAAATTTTTTTGAAATTGAAAAAATTTTGAAAGAGATTTCCTACCAGTGTAATAGCTTGTTATAACTTTGAATGTTGCACTACCAACACAGAGCCTGCCAGGATCAATGGATCAGGTCGCCGAGTGGAGGTTCCGGTCATTGTGAACCAAGAGGTCTTTCTTACCTGTCCCGCCGAGGGTGTCCCCACTCCCACGATCACATGGCACAGAAAAAACAACCCCATACCCACGTATGGCATGCCCAACATACGTATTCAGGTAACTTCCATTTATACCTCCAGATGGCATGCCAAACGTGTTTCTTATGTATTGATGTACCTTTAATTTTAACCCCCAATGATATGTACAACATATTTAGGTAACTTACATTCATATATTCATAGGGTATATCCAACATATGTATTCAGGTAACTTCCATTTATACCTCCAGATGTCATGCCAAACATATTTCTTATGTATTGATTTAACGTTAATTTTTTTGTGATTTACATTCATGCATTCATAGGGTATATCCAACATATGTATTTAGGTAACTTGTAATTAATAGGCTCATTTGGTAAACACACACACACAATTGATGGAATGTCTTACAAAAATTACACTTTTACAAATTTCTTATGTTTAAAAGCTATTTTATATCACAGTTTAAAATTAGAGTGCATAAGATTTTTAAAATTATTTCTGTATCAGGAAATGGGCAGACAACTGGTGATTATCTCGGCACAACTCCTTGATTTTGGAGACTACACTTGCACAGCTAGAAATGATGCAGGAGAAGATAGGCTGCAGTATATTGTTACAATTATGGGTAAGAGTGATGAAACTTATCAATTCTCCAATTGAATATTTTTGGTTTTTAAAACTGGTTTATTCATTTAAACCAAATTTGATGTTTTTGATAATCAAATTTTACACATAGAAATATTCAGAAAACCCAAAGAAGTTCAGACTATGTGTAATTTCTTTTTTTGGGGGAAGGATGGGTCTCCCAATAATTTATATTAAAAAATAACCCAGTGTACACATAATACCCCATTTAACAACAAGCAACTCAGTGTACACATAATACCCCATTTCACAACAAACAACATATTGTTCAAATAACCCATTTAACAACTAATAACTGATAATACAAATTACAACCCTTTGCACAACAAACAAACCATTGTACAAATGATAACCATTTAACAAGAAATAACCCATTTTACAAATGATAACCTTTAAGAACAACCCATTGTACCATCAGTGACCCATTGCACAAATGATAACCCATTGTAAAAATGGTAACCTATTTACTTATTTAAGACTGACAACCCATTGTACAAATGATAAGCCATTTAAGACTTAACATCCCATTTATACAGCTAACAACACTAAAGTTTTTCAATCATTATGGTCTGGGTGGCTTGAACCCACATCTTATTTCTTAAGCTTTGTTATCACATTTACACAGAACTGATCCCTAAAAGTAAATTTTTTAATAATAGATCATGAGTAACATTATTATTAAAATACAATAAAAAAATAATGATACTCATGTTACAAGACAGACTAATGAAAACATTTTAAAGTATGGGCATTGTGCTTTTCATTAAATGATAATTTTTGTGTGTGTTTTTGTTAGTTCCACCTGAGATTGAAGAAGGACCAACAGAGGCAGCGGAAATCATCAACTCTCGAGTTCTCTTGCAATGTGAAAGCAGCGGTAAGCCGACGCCTGTGGTATCCTGGACCAAAAACGGACAACCTTTCCCGACCACAGGGCTTAGGCATAGGATGCTGCCATCAGGATCTCTGGAGTTTATGGTGGTCAGACTTGAAGATGATGGAGTTTACAGGTGTGTGGCCAGCAACGCTGCAGGAAATGCCACAAGGACTGTTCAACTGCAAGTACAAAGTAAGTGATGTAGGATAATGATAGCATCTCAGCTGTGACACCAGTAGGCCGTTAAAGGCAGTTTGGGGCCATCTCTATATGACGCCAAGCTGTTTTGGCTGGTATTGGACACCCCCCTCACCCATCCATCTTCACAACTCCGTCACACAATTTAGGCACCCTCATAATAGATTGTCACAAATGTTTGAGCGTGTACTTGTTAGATTGCTGACATCTTTTATGGACGGCTCCTTATGTCAATTTATTGCAATCAAGTAATTTTAAAAACATTTAAATTGACCTTTAAATGAGGTCAGGTCAGTACAAGAGAGAGGGTCATCTTTCATTTAAAAAAATTGTAGCAGAAACATTGGGCAGTTTGCTTTTTACTCAAAATAAAATGTATTTTACACAGATGGCTAGATCATTCTGTGAAGAAGGCATGTGAGATAATGTGTTTCTTTTGGATCTTGAAGATGTCAAGATAATCACTTAGTCTCAACCAAAACATGTTAAGAAGGGAAAAATGAAAATGTCATTGATTTTCTTTTCAGTCCCGGCAAAAATTCTAAACCGTGGTCAACCAACAATTAGAGGATCAGAGCGTGAGTCAGTAATTTTAACATGTGATGTGGAGGGCTCACCTGCCCCAACTTTGTATTGGCTCAAGTACAGGCAACATGTGGAGACTGATGCTCGTAAGAACTATCATTTAAAAAAATTTTTTTTTTAAATGTCTCTTTTCTTAAGAACAAAATGAGAGATTCCACTGAAGCATTCCATTAATTAAATACTTATGAATCAACAGTCAACAGAATTTTTAAATATTATATTAAGTGCATTTATAAAAATATTATATTAATTTAGTTGACCTTAAATAATAAATGACAATAATCTGATTTTGGTAACTATTGCCGTGCAGTGACAGATGGTGTAGAGAGTGGGCTAATCCCTTTTAATGGCTTTTTAATTTTTAAAATTGTAACAAAATAATATTCAGTACATTAAGCAGTGTATACATATTCCATTACATGCATGTCATGCCATCTCTCCTTGAGACACCGACACCTACCTCATTTTTTTATCATTTACAAAAAACAACCTGCAGGTATTAAAATAATGGAGAATGGATCTCTGCTAATCTCATCACTGGACCGAAAGGATGCCGGAGTGTATACATGTTTGGCCCAAAATAGCGCAGGGACAGACAGTCGAGACATAAGGTTGAGAGTACAAGGTAGAGTACAAGATGGGAGTGTTAAATCTAAGGATATTGTGGAGAAGACTTAAGTGTATTTTGCTCAAAATAAGGTCCTACTTAAAAAAAATCTAGTGATATGCATAAAGTGATTGGTATTGTACACTAAGCTGGAGTAGTGATTGGTATTGTACACTAAGCTGGAGTAGTGATTGGTATTGTATACTAAGCTGGAGTAGTGATTGGTATTGCACACTAAGTTGGAGTAGTGATTGGTATTGTACACTAAGCTGGAGTAGTCATTGGTATTGTACACTACCCATTATTTGGCATAGAACACAGATATTTCATATTTTATATATAAATTGCGATATTGTGTCATTAAAAAAGAAGAGGAAGCTCAACCTATTACTCTGCCTTGTTAGTATCATTGTAAACACTGTATTGCCTGCATAGAAAGGGCTGCTAAATATCCAGAACACTATACTTTTAACTATTTTGTGTTTTTTGTTAATCCTACAACAGAAATTTATTTAATTTTTCAAAAAGCCAATGATAGAACAGCTTAGTCTAGTGCATATTACTTATGGTGAGGAAATCAATAATATTCTAATAACTATTTTACTGTAAAGAGCTTCTATTTAAAATATTTTCATCTGTCTAAGATAAGAATAATTACTAACTGTCGTAATAATATTAGAGTCTTTAGAGACGGTATTAGAGCAGTTCATTTGTAAAAAAAATTGTTACATGATAAACTGCTATGGTTATTGATGCTGAGTTGTTGCATTCTGCATTCACAGAACCACCAGAGATCTTTGTACCTCAGACAGATTTTACAGTGCTCCAGAATCGAACCATAGTTCTTCCTTGTCAAGCCAATGGTCGTCCCAGGCCAAAGATAATTTGGGAAAAAAATGGCCAAGAAATAACCACCTCAACCAATCACAGGCTGGGATACGGCAGAGTCCACTACATAATACTGCAGACTGGTGGACTGGCCATACCACATACAAGGTACTAACTGCCACATACTAGGTACTAATCTACCACATACAAGGTACTAACTTCCACATGCTAAGTACTAACTGCCTCATACTAGGTACTATCTACCACATACTAGGTACTGTCTACCACATACTAGGTTCCACATGCTAGGTACTAACCGCCACATACTAGGTACTACCTACCACATACTATGTACTGTGGACCACATACTACCACATACTAGGAACTATCTACCACATGCTAGGTACTATCTACCACATGCTAGGTCTAACTACCACATACTAGGTACTAACTACCACATACTAGGTACTAACTACCACATGCTAGGTACTAAAAAGGGTTTATACATTTTACTCAACATGCAATGGTTAAATACCAAGTCTTTCTATTAAAATTTTTTTTAATCTCTCATAATAATATATATTTATATTATATATACTTTGTGAGTGCAGTACATATTTTGAACACTGCTCTCCTCTTTTCTATCAGTATAGCAATAAAATAAGCTTACTGTTGTTCATCATTTTGTTCAATTTGTTTTTTGTTAGATCTGAAGATGCCGGCACTTACAAGTGTATAGCTGAGAACAGTGCAGGACAATCATTCCAAACACTCAAGTTGACAGTACAAGGTAAAATTACAAGGCTTCATATCACCAAATTCACAATCTGATTATGGTAATATTCATCCTTACCCTCCCTTACAATTAAATTATGCCTAACTAAAATATTATTAGCTAAGTAGAGAAATATTTGGTTTAAAAAACATCAAATTAACTATTGAAAACCCCCCACTGTTTTAACTACAATTTTTATACAGGGTGGGCCAATAAAAGTGAGAACATCTCGTAAAATATTACGCTATGAGATGTTCTCACTTTTATTGGCCCACCCTGTATAAATTTTACATTATTGTCATTAATATTGACAGATTAGAAAGAGAAATCCTTGCAGCTTTTGCATATTGGTCATGATCAAGTGATTAAATTTTTGTGGTTGCTAAGTGACCTTCTTGTTCATAGGTTTTGTTACTTATTACCAGTCTAAGATAATCCTCCAACTGCCTCAAATCTGAGAGAAGAGTAATGTTCTCATTATAAACAAAATAATAATTATACCAATGGATAATTTTTGATGCAAAACTTTTAATAATAATGTTCAGACTCAGCATTAATTAGATACATTATTATTTATGCAAACAGTGCCTCCAGTGATAGAAGCAGCACTTCGTCAATTTGTTGTTTCGGTTGGGGACAGGACAACTCTGCCATGTAAAACAGTGGGATTTCCAATACCAACGATCATGTGGACTAAAGACAGACGTCGTATCGACCCAAGGGATCCCAGATATCGATTTGAATCTGATGGAAGTTTAACAATCGAAAACATCAATGTAAGATCAAAATGCACCTTTGTTTTTATGATATATATTTTGGTGTTTTACTAGCTAGTTTTTGCAGTTAAAGGTTAAAGGGCATAGTGATAATTTAAGGCATTAGTTTTTATTTCAATGAATTTATTAAAATGATAATAATCTCTTTACTGTAAGGCTGATGATGCAGGGGACTTCATTTGTACAGCAGAGAATTTGGTAGGGACAGACTCACAGAGCAGACTGCTTAGAGTTCAAGGTCAGAATTTATCTTTTGTTTTTAAAAATGTATTTACTTAAATCAATCACAAAAAAAAAAGACCTGATTTCATATCATTTACTCATTAACATTTTTTAAAGAAATATTTCTCACCCCATCTAAATTTGTGTGATTTTTCATTGACGTGGTATGGACAAATGGTATTAGTTCAATATTTGAAGTAGTTCCTTGACGTGGTATGGTTAAAATGGTATTAGTTCAATATTTGAACTAGTTCATTGACGTGGTATGATCAAATGGTATTAGTTCAATATTTGAAAATTTCTACCAATTTAACCTATAATAATCACATATTTATGTTCATAGACATTGGGATGGGGGGAAAATGTGGCACAATTGCTTCCCCTAGATTTGAGGGACACTATTACAAATATAATATCCCTTTTCATATTTATTCTTATGGTACAATTTTAAGTGCCTGATGCTACTCTCATCCACTTTGGTGGAATGCCCAAATGGGTTATATTTTTTGAAAGTCTGTGTCATTTGCCCTCTTTTCTCTATCATTTATCTTTGACCAGTTCCCCCTGTGCTTGTGACCCTACCAAAAGACAGAGAGCTGACAGTAAACACCAACTTCCAGATGTCCTGTGCAGCTAAAGGGGTGCCGACTCCAGTGATTACTTGGATGTTAAATGGAAAGCAAATCCCAGGTAGCTTTTTTAAAAATGCTGGTGATATAATAAGAGACTTATGGCTGTCATGCACTTCCTGGTTCAAGTGTCATGAATAGTTTCTGATTTGTTTCAAGAATATTTATAGATTGAGTGCATGAGCCATGAAAATGTACATGTGATACAAGGTATGAACTAATAATATCACTTGATAAATGTTAATTCACCAAGAATCCCAACATTCTACCAAATTACTTGATGAAAATGTTGACCCCACTACTAGTGCTTTAGTATGATGTGTTTTAGGGGTACTTATGGAGGGGTAGTACCTATGATTGGAAAGTAGCTAAATAATCTTTGGTCCCTGCATGGTGCTCGGCTGTGACCTGAGGCTCCAAGAAGCTGTAGCATGCGCAACAGCTGCTACACCACTGAAAAGGACTTTGACCAACTCACTAAACCAAATCAAATCTTTGGTCAACAGGGCTTGACCCCTGTAGCATGTGTTAATTGTTCTGTATTGATGTTTCATTTCTAAAAATGAGATCACCAATTTGCATTTTTTAAACCCTCCTTGTTGATAGATGAAAACTAGTTTCTATTTAAACTTTAATATGATGCAGTTGGTCATAAATGTTGCCATGTTTACTTGAACTGCTTCTGTCTCAGCCCCTGCCAGCCTCAATGGAGCTAGCACGCTAACAGTGAGGAATGCCATGAAAGAAGATGCTGGAGAGTACACCTGTGTGGCCACCAACCCAGCAGATAACCAGCAGGTCACTGCAAGTGCCAGGGTCATCATCAAAGGTTTGTATTACATGGTTAACAGACAAAGCTCATTAAAATTTGTGATCTAAAAATGCTTTTGTATCAAGATATTAAATTAAAAACATTATGAAATAATAAAATATATATATAGACTTATTAGATTTTCTTAGATAGCAACTTCTAAGAGTAACTTTTTTACCGCAAGTCCTTATCTGATGAATTTTTTTTATGATAGAACATTTTAATTTGAAATTTTATGTCCACGATGATGACTTTTGGTCAAAAACTGATAACATTACTGAGCATCTTTATGTTATTAATAAATTCTAGTTCCGCCAAGAGTGATAGTGCCACCACTGGACTGGGCTGTTAAGATTGCTGAGAAAGTGATTCTGGATTGTTCTGTTGGTGGGGACCCAGCTCCTGAGATCTTGTGGACCAAAAACAGTCGACCTGTGGAGCTTGGAGATAGAATCCAACAGTTGAACAATGGTTCTCTAATTATTTATGATGCTACAGTAAGTTCTGGATTTTGTGATACTAAATTAAGTTATAGACGCAAGGCGGACAGACTAATGAGCTAATTAGATATTCACTTTTTTTATTGGCCTACCAAAACTTTAGGAATCCACTTGGGTCTGATTTTTCTGGCTTTGTTCTCCGTCCAAAGTACAAAATTGAATAGCATGTTTTAATTAAGTACATTTTTTACACAGAATATAATGGGGTTTTCAAAGGTACAGTTTAACTTGTTATATAAAAGTATTTATCCTATGACAATTTCTAAATAAATGGAATTCTTCAGGAAACTAATATCTTTTCCTCACTTGAAAACGTAATCTAAATTATAGTAAATTATAAATCTTTCTTCCTTCTAATGATACAATATTTTATGGTAATTTAAAAAAAAAAATTTGTTACCACCAGGCCTCAGATGCTGGCCAGTACAAATGTATAGCAATCAATGATGCAGGCACATCTGAAGCCCAGTCAGTTGTAACTGTTAAATGTAAGTGTTCTCACATCATGTTAATTAATAAACATACTAGTAATTCACAAATAAAATATCTATCAATTTAACTGTAACATGATTATTTTTAAAAGTGCATTATTGTAGGACTTTTTCTTTCACCTCAACATTTTCATACAATCTCCAGCTGAACCAAAATTTAGGATTGAGCCGAGCAACGCTTTAGTGGAGATTGGTGACACTGTCCTGTTCGACTGCACAGCCGAGGGTGTACCACCACCGACAATGTTTTGGTGGAAGGAAACAGATGAGATTGTTTCAGGGGGGAGAGTAGCAGTGTTAAACAACAATTCTCTTAGGTCTGATTATTATAAAACTACAGTCTCAACAATTTCTTTATTTGATCAACAGCTCATTCCCTCTTTATCAAAGCCATTTAATGTCATTAAAATTGAAAAAATTTTGTTAATTAGCTGGATTTTTAGTTTGTCTCACTACAGTTTTAAACTATGTATTTTTATACAGATTAATAATCTGCAAAAGAAATTTAATTTATTTATCTAGTTCATCATATTCATGACTAGTTAAATAGACAATGCTCCCACTATGTAAAGATATCACTTTACCAAAATTTAAAATCTGTGATTGAACACTTCCATCAACTATAAAACTTTTCCAGTGTGAATTGTGCCAATTTAAGTTTAACTTGAAAAATATTTTCATAGCTATTACTATTAGCTGTAGACTGTAGATAAAAAAAAAGTGCTCATAATAAACACAGACTAGTTAAAAGTTTCCCTGAACAATAAGTTAGCTCCAAGATATTCCTGAATGAATAAACTATAGCCGAGTCTACAATGTTATCCATTCCTATTTATTATTTTTAAAAAGCATAGGCCTACTTGTATGATTAAAAATATTGATTGAATGATTTCATTGCACTTCAAAATCCATTTTGCAGGATTGTAGCTACTCAGCAATCAGATGCTGGAGTGTACAGATGCTTTGCCGTTAATCCACTGGGTAAAACCTTTGTGGAAACATACCTTAATGTGGTAGGTTAGTATTTCTTTTTTCAAATTATTATAGTTTTCTTTCATCCTTTTTTTCTGAGTGAATGAACAAATTTTTAAAATTTTAAACATTTACCTCTTTTAAATTTAGTTTAAATACATTTTAATTGAATTACTAAGTCTTTTTTAGGCATATTCAATTAATAAATTTTAACATTATTTTTTTTACTTGGTAATTCATTACCTTAGTTTCTGAATTAAACAAATGAAACTGACACTTCAGGCATTTATTATGACATCCAATTTCTTATACATTAATATAAGAAGCTTTATTTTAAAATTGTGTGAAAAATTGTATGTATTGATATACTTTTGATAAATTGGTTAATTGAAACTTGAAAACAATATTTTGGAAATGGTTTCTAATTTAAGTATAATTATTGTTCCAGTTCACGGGGAGTTCTCTCAATGGGGAGAGTGGGGTGCCTGCAGCACCAGCTGTGGGAAGGGTGATCGCTCTCGACGTCGTACGTGTGATAACCCACCTCCAGAAAATGGTGGCAGGGATTGCGTGGGCCCAAGGATTGAGTACACCAGCTGTGTTGTGGAACTTTGTCCAGGTACATGCCTCTAAGCAAATAGCTATTCTGGATTTTATTATGAATGTGGATGCTTGTATTTAGAAAATAATAAGTTATTAAATATGTTTTAGGGATTCATATTGGAAACAGGAATTAGCAGGAATTTTTTATGTGTCTGGATTTGATTTGATTAGCTCTGTAATTTTATTGTAATACAGAAATAATAAATGTGTACGCATGATAAATGATTATAATGCAAGTTCATGATAAATGATTATAATGCAAGTTCATGATAAATGATTATAATGCAAGTTCCTTCTGTCTGCTCTCATGTGTTGTTATTTATTAATTTTTAGTCCATGGGAACTGGGCACCCTGGGGTCAATGGAGTGAGTGTAGTTTGACCTGTGGTGGTGGCCAGAGAAAGAGATTAAGAACTTGCAGCAATCCTGCTCCTAGTGGCAGTGGTCAGCCATGCATAGGCAGTGGGGATGAGACGGAAACCTGTAACACACAGGGATGTCCAGGTGAGTGGTCATTAATCTCTGATCGTCCGGATGATCAGTCATGGGAAATTTTTATATCTCTTGATATTGTGCTTTGTTTGCTGCTGTAAAGATATGAACACCATAGATAAAATTATATGAGCTATTTTAATACAAAATTCTGTAACTTAAAATAAATTATTAAAAGTAAACCAATTTTAAAAGTTATTTTGAATATAAATATACAAAAATTAAAATCAATTATTTTTTTAAAAGCTTTATTATGAAATAAAAATTATAAAGGATTTGTTAAGAGGTAAAAACTAGTAATGATTATTGATTTAAATTATGAATAATAAAAAAAAAAATTAATTTAAAAAAAAAAAATAATTTTTTTTTCTATTATTACATTTCTTTGTCACTTCTTGATGCTGCAGTGGACGGCAAATTTTCTGAATGGTCTGCCTGGTCAGAATGTTCAACAACATGTGGGCCAGGCACTAAACAGAGAGCCAGAGAATGCATACAGCCAGCGTTTGGTGGCAGGAGATGTTGGGGTGACACTACTGAAGTGGTAGCATGCAACCTGGGCTCCTGTTATTGTAAGCAGTGTGTTTGTTTTCTTAGGAATATGATATTTTTTCTATATGGCAACCATGCTGTGATCACACATTGTAGGTCAAATGCTTGTTTTGTTAGGAATATAACACTTTTATAAATGGCAATTATGTTTGGCTTACAAATCAGCTGTCTTTCCATTCAGTTGAATGCAATAATGCACACAAGAATTGAAAACCAGCTCAATGGTTTAATTCAGTTTTTTTAAAGTAATGATCAATTTATGGCTTAGGAAATATATCGTTACCTGAAACTCATCAAGATTACAAATGCAAATTTGTATGTATGTTGGTTCATTTTTTTCTTCCAATTTCTAAAAAAACTACCTTAAGTTGTTGCTATTCCATATAGTATCTTTACTGATTAACTTTGAAAGAAACATGGTCAAAATCAATAAAAATCATAGGTCCAATGTTTGTTAAGAAATTAATTTATTGTATAAATTTTGTATGTTTGTTAAAAATTGCTAGCTGACGCAACTTTTATTTACATTAATGTAGTCTAGTCCTGCAATGTTAAGATTTGATACCATTTTATTTCCACTTTAATTTCAAGATTTGAATTAAAACCCAAACTTAAAAAATCTTACAGCATTGCCACGAATTGCAGAGGGTAACATAATTGGCTACATCAATGGTATTGACATTGTGGAGACCAGTATCACGGCCGAGATGATACCAACAGAAACTGGAGTCACACGCATCGAGGCCACAGTTAGAAATGTGCCCCCAGGGATCAGTAGGACATTTTTCTTAACAAAACTATAATATAATTGATATTTTAACTTTGGGTTCATGTGGGTGGGTGGGGGGGGGGATATGTCAGTTTGCCACAGATCGAGCATTTTTTAAATCTCCCAGAAGAAATTAAATGGAAGGGGAAAAAAATCTTTTTGTCAGTATGTACAAAACTATAATATAATTGATATTTTAACTTTGGGTTCATGTGGGTGGGTGGGGGGGGGGGATATGTCAGTTTGCCACAGATCGAGCATTTTTTAAATCTCCCAGAAGAAATTAAATGGAAGGGGAAAAAAATCTTTTTGTCAGTATGAAGTATTAATTTCAAACTTTTAACTGTTTCTAGACTATGCACATTTTCTTAGACCCATACCTTCATTTTTTTTTTTAGGTTTACCTCAATCAACTTTGCTTCTATAGTGTGTCTATTATGTTATAACTTGTTTTCAAGTATTTACCATATTTATAGTGTATAGTATTGAGGATTGATTTTTTGAAAAGTGACAGGGTCTTCTCTTAAAACTAAATCTCAGCATGTTTTATCAGGATCATTAGTTAACTAACTCTTTGTCATCATTATCTCCTTAACACCATGTACATGGAATTATTTCATATTTACACAATTTTTATTTTGAATAATTCTGTTATACTTTGTAGCCAAACACCTCCAGCACCTCATATCTCTGCTCACTCCCGTCTACTGGACCACAGCACAGGAGATTGATGGAGCATTCAATGGGTATTCTCTCACCAAAGGAGAGTTTATGAGAGAGGTGCAGGTGGAATTTGCAACAGGTGTGGAAATAATTGTTAATTATAATAACCTATTGTTGAGCCACAAAACCATTTCTTACTTTAAAAAATGTATGTTACATATTAGTTTGTGGATATGAGGCCCATATAATTATTAGTTTGGGGAAATGTGGACCATATAATTATTATTTTGGGGAAATGTGGACCATATAATTATTATTTTGGAGAAATGAGGCCCATATATTCAAATACAGTATATTACATATTTTTTTCTTTATTCAATAAATTTCTTTCTATGCTGAAGTGTAGTTAAGCCTTACTTAGAAAATTACAAAAAGGTTGAAGTTTTCATCAGATGGCCTAAGCCTTTGTCTATTATTATTATTATTAGGTGGCTTTATATGGCGCAGTACCCCAGCCTGGGGCTGGGCTCACTGTACAGTACCCCAGCCTAGGACTAGGCTCACTGCACAGTACCCCAGCCTAGGGCTAGGCTCACTGCGCTTCACATAAAAATTAGCAATTACATAAACGTATACATTTAAAAACAATTGAAGTGAAACGCTTGACCTCACCCACATGGACAGCACCCAGCAGAATCGAGCATTGTTTATCAGTCAGAGGGGAATGATACTTTTTCTATGCCTATGTTGCTGTTGAGTCCTTAGGAAAGTTTGACTTTCCTTGGCATTGCTAAAGCCAGTCAGCTTCTTATTTTAGATTTATTACAGTCCAATCTTGATACTTCCTGTAGCAACTTTTCTCACCTTTAATGCCTATCACCAACCCTCACATTCAACAACAGAGTCCTATCCATTCCTACTTTATGATTGGTTTGAGAAATTAATGGACTCAAAGATAGAAATACGCTTAAGTTAGGTTGTATTAACATATTGCTTCCTACACAGACTATGGTGGGAAATTAAAGTCATCATCATTTAATTTTAAAAAATTTAGTTTTAACAGTTCATTCCCTTCTCTCAAATTACAAACAGCACTACAATAAATGAAAAAAAAATTATAAGAACTAATCAATAGAACTCCTCTCTTTTAACAAATTCTTACAGGTGAAATATTGAAGATGTCTCATTATGTGAATGGTGTGGATTCAAAGGGAAATCTTTTATTTGACATCATTGTTCGAGGGGAAGTCCCTGACTTGGGACCAATAAGAAATGTGCATCTGCCTTCTTATCAAGAGGAGTATATTCAAACTGGGCCAGGTGATGATTAAGAATTTTTAAACTGTTAGAGCAAACTTTTAAAATATTCAGTTCAAATAAAGCCACAGCAAAGTAAGACTGTTGACAAATAGGTGAATATGCCTAAGCAAAATCTATTTGGTAACAATTTTTTTTTTACTGCAGATAGGCCTACTAAAAAAAAAATGTGTATATATCGTTTACACTTCTTAAAATGTTTGCTTTTCAATTACTTTGAGCAGGTTCTTCTTTATTTTTTGTAGTAATTGAACAATTAAAACTAAACCATACATAAGATAAATCAGAATTTAAACTGATAAATCAGACTAAAATATATTAAAAAAAACTTTATTTTCTTATTTAAAAAAATTAATTAATATTCAAGATATGGATAGGCAACATATTTTACCATTTTATTTTAAATAATTCTTTTACTCTTTTATAAAATTCAAAATATTCATCTGAATAACCTTTTCTATTCAGGAACTATTTATGCCCATTCGTCCCGCTTGTTCAGCGCTGATGGAATTACACTCCCGTATGCATGGAATCACACAATAACATATGAATCCTCACTAGGCCATATGCCATATCTAGTACAACAGCTCAACACTAAAGGCCTGACTGTTGAAATATTACCAGACCAGCAGTCAGTCAAATATGCTTTGGAGGCATCCATTAGGCCAGGTACATTGGAAATTTACTTAACAGATTTAGATAGAAATAATTCATAATAAATATATGTGTGTGCAGTTTGAAATGGCGACTTGAATATCTCAATGTTTAGAATAACCTTAACAAAGTTATAACGGACCAGGAAAGTTTGTGGAAAATATCTAAATACACCTCAAAGTAAATTGCCTCTTTAATTCAAACAGATTATAAAATTAAATTTTTATTTTAAAAAAATCATGCATATTAAATGTTCAAGCCATGCTATGTCAACATGCATATTAAATGTTTGAAGCCATAATATTTCAACATGCATTATCCTGTCAGGTAATCCAAGCAACAGATGTCCATCTGGTTTCCAACATGATCTGCAGGAATCTTTTTGTAGAGGTGTGTCCACTTTATTCCTAAATCTGACCATCTGAAAACCTCCTTTTGTATTTCAAACTGCAATGTTGTTTGTGAGAGTTCATTCTGACTTAATACAACTTTAAAAAAAAATCTTTAAATTGGAATATTCCAGCTTTTTTGATAACTGAAGCAAACAAAAATCATGAGATATCAATAATATATTATGTCAATTATAATGTAGGTTGTCACTTTTGTAGTATGATCTACCTTATCTTTGTAGTATGATCAACCTTACCTTTGTAGTATGATCTACCTTACCTTTATAGTATGATCTACCTTAACTTTGTAGTATGATCTACCTTACCTTTGTAGTATGATCTACCTTACCTTTGTAGTATGATCTACCTTACCTTTGTAGTATGATCTACCTTACCTTTGTAGTATGATCTACCTTACCTTTGTAGTATGATCTACCTTACCTTTGTAGTATAATCTACCTTACCTTTGTAGTATGATCTACCTTACCTTTGTAGTATGATTTACCTTACCTTTGTAGTATGATCTACCTTACTTTTAACCATGACTTAAACTGTGATGAGATTCACTGTCCATGTTCAGATGATGACGAGTGTGCCCTGTACAACCCATGCAGTCACAGCTGTCACAATGCACCAGGGAGCTTCTCTTGCTCGTGCCCCATTGGATTTCTGCTCACTTCCGACGCCAGAACTTGTCAAGGTAAAATGGAAGGAATTAGGTAGATAAGTAAAAAGTAATGTGTTTTTAATTGGTTGGGGGGTGGGGGGAGTGACTTAACATCCCACATTTAATAGTTATTATGGTTTTATGCTAGGAAATATAATGACTTTTTTTTAAAGATACAAATAATTTAGACTTGTAATTTAACTTTGGTATACATATATATATATTTATAGCACAAACATTTTAAAATAATTAAATACAACCTTCTTCCTTTAAATTTTTTACTGGTTTTTAGTTGTTTTTTAAATTTTAAATTTCTATGTAGGCCTATAACTACTTTACTGTTTTCAATAAGATAGATATCAAGCTACGTCAATGGGCGGAGGATATTAGGGTGATTGGTGGAAGGGGGGGGGGGCAAAATGCGAGCAAAAAATATTTTTTTCATTAACTGTTATGTAAAATTTTGTTGTGTGCTCTTGACTGTACTCATTTGGGCGGAGGATATTAGGGTGATTGGTGGAAGGGGGGGGGGGCAAAATGCGAGCAAAAAATTTTTTTTTCATTAACTGTTATGTAAAATTTTGTTGTGTGCTCTTGACTGTACTCATGATGGCAGACATCAATGAATGTGCACTTGGCTCAACTGACTGCGGGCCTGACATGGAGTGTCTCAACACACCAGGATCTTTCAGATGTGTAAACATGTGCGCTAAAGGATTCAAGAGAGAAGAAAATGGGGACAGGTGTTTGGGTAGGTCTAATTTTGACAATTTTAAAATTATTTAATGATTTATTGATTTAATGATCTTTGATTTAATGAAGGAATGCTATTTACGGCAATGAGAAATGTTACATAAATTCCGTCAGTTTTTCCACAAATTTCAAAATAAACGAATGACTCTTAATTTCTTATTAACTAAAGATATTTACAAACAAATATCAAGGCATGTAATTTACGTACCAAACATTACACAGCTAATATTTTGTTGTGCTATCTAGATATCAATGAATGTGAAGCTAGTCCTAGTCTTTGTGAACAAACCTGCCAGAATCTGGTTGGGAGTCACAGGTGTACATGTCTACCTGGCTATAGACTTGGAGACAATGGCAGGTGTCATGGTAAGGTACATTTTATAATCTGGCAAATTCTTTTTAGGAGCTTCTCCAATTTACATTTAAATGCAAGGTCAAGGTTATATTTTAAACATTCTTTTTTAAATTAATTGTAGGAGTCATTGAACTATTACCAATAACTTATTTTAAAGTATTGAACTATTGCCAATAACTTATTTGAAGGTGTTGAACTATTTCCAATAAATTATTTTAAAGACCACTTCCGTAATACAATTTTTTACAATATCATAAATAATTATTTTAAATTGTGAGAAATGCTTCACTTGAAAATGGCAATCTCTTGTTAAGGGAAATGCTTAAACATTTTCATTGCTCCGTAAATATCATGCCATGATAACTCTGTTGAACACAATTCAAATAATTACAAATTAGTCCCTAGGTCAAGTTTACCTCTTCAAGTAGTTGATTTAGAAATGTTATGAATCAAATTAAAATTTTGTTCATCGTGTGTGTGTCCCCAGATTTGGATGAGTGTGAGATGATTCCTTCTCCTTGTTCACATACCTGCATCAACAACAGGGGCAGCTTTTCATGCACTTGTCCACCTGGCTTTCAGTTACTCAATGGACGTGTTTGTCGAGGTAAGTAAGGGATGCAATCACATGCCTGGGTGCTCCAGAAGAATTGGTCCAAACATTTATCACACTGATGTTATTTAATTGGGAATGCAACAGTATGTAGGTTAAGAATGGTTCCCCAATCTGTGGGTCGCCACCCCTTTTGGGGGGGTCAAACAACCCTTACACAGGGGTAGCCTAAGACTGTTGGATATTTATGAAGTGGCAACGAAAATAATTTTATGGTTGGGTGTCACCACACCATGAGGAGCTGTATTAAAGGGTTGCGGCATTGGGAAGGTTGAGAACCATTGCTGTAGGCAGAGCTGAATTGACTCGGGCTGTATGCTCTGTTTATTGCTGCCCCTCTCTCACTAGGATGAGGACCTTCCTCATCACATAAGCAATGCTAGTTTTTGTTTGTGTTGAAGGCAGATTAAAATTTCCATGATTTTGTTCAGGTCAAAGTTCAGCTTCCGTCATCATTGATACAATGTTATCACTTGGACTGATGTGATTTAGTAACTTCATGGTATTAATATAGAAATTCAATAAACTGATAGAAAACATGCTGTCATTAATTCTTACATTTAAAGAAATTTTTTTTTCTTCTTAAAGGCAAAAATTATCTGTAATAAAATTTTTAAAAAAAAAGAGGGCTGCATAAAAACGTCAGTTTTATTAAATTAAGCTCAAAAGATTTTGTCCTGCAGCCACAGGGACACAATTATTTATTGATTTGGTTCTCTTGGAATGTCATTTTATCATTTATAACATGATATTCATGGACTTTCTTTCCCATGTGTTGAACTGTGTTTATGATTATGAATTTTAATTTTAAATTGAACAGACATCAACGAATGCTTAGAGGGTGGCAACACCTGCAAGTTCGGTGAAGAATGCATCAACAACGAGGGAGGTCACGCTTGTGTTCAGTCGTGTCCCACTGGATTCAAAAGGGGAGAGTCAGGAAGATGTCAAGGTAACTGCTCAATGAATCTAGTAAATACTATCACAAACTGTAAAAGAGTCTGTCCATAAAGTGCATCAAGCTAATCACAATCTTTCACAAATTTGGACTATAAATTTGTCAAAAATTAACAGCTAATTAAAATCTCATCTAAAACACACTTCACTATTAAACAATGATATTAATAAAATTGATATATTCCGAATAAATCCGTCACAACAGAAAGTTAAACGTCACTTTCAGGATTTTATGTATGATTAAAACAAAATGTGATGTCACATATGATCTTTACCCCCCCCCCCGGTCACAAACTGTCAGACTTTATAGACATCCCCTAATGTGATTAAATTTACAATTAATTTTCTGTAAAGCTAATGCTGGATGTTTACAGAGATGTTGTCATACACACACGGTGGAAGCATCTATTGGCATACATACAAGGTGGTAGAATCTATTGGCATACATACAAGGTGATAGCATTTATTGGCATACATACAAGGTGATAGCATCTATTGGCATACATACAAGGTGGTAGAATCTATTGGCATACATACAAGGTGGTAGAATCTATTGGCATACATACAAGGTGGTAGAATCTATTGGCATACATACAAGGTGATAGCATCTATTGGCATACATACAAGGTGATAGCATCTATTGGCATACATACAAGGTGATAGCATCTATTGGCATACATACAAGGTGATAGCATCTATTGGCATACATACAAGGTGGTAGAATCTATTGGCATACATACAAGGTGATAGCATCTATTGGCATACATACAAGGTGATAGCATCTATTGGCATACATACAAGGTGATAGCATCTATTGGCATACATACAAGGTGGTAGATTCTATTGGCATATATACAAGGTGGTAGAATCTATTGGCATACATACAACGTGGTAGAATCTATTGGCATACATACAAGGTGGTAGAATCTATTGCCATAATTTAAAGGTGGTAGCATCTAATGTCATAATTGCAAAGTGCTAGTACTTATTCAAGATTCAGTAAATACATGAGCTCTTCCTTAATGTGTTTAACTAGTGTTAGTAACTGAGCTCTACTTTCAGATGTGGATGAGTGCAGCACAAAACAGCACAGGTGCTACTACAACCAGAACTGTGTGAACACTGAAGGTGGTTACACGTGTGACTGTCCTACTGGTTTCACCTCAAGAGGACCTGGACAGCCGTGTGTGGGTAAGTCAGTACAGGACAAAAGTTAATTCAAATCATGATATAAGGAACAATAACCCTTGTCAATTCAGGACGATTCTGTTTCATTTTTGGCCAATTTTTTAAGGAGTTCATTTTTTAAAAAAGTTTTAAAAGTAAAGCAATAAAGAAGAAAGAAAAATCATATATTTAACTCTGTAGTTGTATTAACTTAGCTTCCTTGTAATTGAAAAAGTGCAAAAAATAAATCTACAAGAAATTTATTTATAAGGAAGATTATTTAAAGTTCTAAATCATCATTTGAAAATAAAATGTTTGCTTTTTATTATTTGTTTCCTATACCATATAAATTGAAATTTTTAAAAATTATGCAAGGCATAATCAAAAGGAACTCTTATATTTGCATGCTGCCAATAGGATACCAGGTTTGGAACATCTGTTTTGGCAACATTACCTTTTTATTTTGGATAAAATATATTTGGCTTATTGATGTATGTACTATCAGTACTTAAGTTAAATCTTATTTTTTATCAGTCCAAATATTTTACTAAAGTAATAGGTTAAGGGGAGAGAATTTTGTGCAGTGAAAGATTACTGTTTCAGATATTGATGAATGCAGACAAAGTCCTCGTGTCTGCATATATCAGTGCCGAAACACGTGGGGCAGCTATGAGTGCTTATGCCCACCAGGACAGCTGCAACTAGCGGATCGAAAGTCTTGTGCTGGTTAGAGTGCTTTCCTCCCCTTGCTTATGTACCTACTCAGTATATTTGAATAATCTTTGTTGTTCACTCCCAAAGTAATTGTGGCTAAGAGCCATCATCCTAAAGTCCTCTGGATTATAAAAATTTTAATTGGATGTACCAGTGCTTTGTCATACTTTCATTCGGGTTAAATTAATAGTTTATAAATTAATAGTTTATAAATTAATAGTTTGAGAACCTTTTTTGTGGTGAAATTAAATCTTAATAACTTTGGAGATGGCTCATTGTTCATGTTTATTTAGATTATGTCCCGGTTTTTATTTTAAAATTCACTTAAAGCTATTTTATTCCTCTTATAAATATACAAAAGTGTCATTGTGTGCTTGGATGTTTTTTTTACCTCTCTTCTGAAGAGCTTGTAATGTGTTGTAATGAGTGTGCTTACAGTAAAACTATTCAATGTGCTGCTGTACATGTGTTTTCTAACAAGACACATTTTTTTGTTGAGTCTCTACATTGTTTAGAGTAGAATCAGTGCATTTTTTACTCTATAATTAAAACAGATACTACTGTACACTTGTCTTCAAACATTTTTTCAACTGAGCATTAAGACAAGTACAATCAACTAATAATTTTCTAATAAATTGTTTAACTCAAATAAATTAAACATGAAGTGTAAAGTTTACCAATAAAAATCTGTCTTTTTGAGATTTTGCCATTCTTCTTTGATTAGCACAATCATTTTCCTGGCTAGTTGATTCATTTAGAAAATATTTAAACAACTCTGATAAATTTTTAGTCCATCTAGAAACAGTCATCACAGAGACATTTTTATTGGCTGTCAATGCTGGCCTTAAAGCTGTTTCTGTAACATATATTTACCGGTATATATATATATATATATATAAATATATATATTTATATATATATAAATATACACATATATATTACATTCCCTGTGCATGATATCCTATTTCAAGCATGTTAAATACATCTGAAAGCAATGGACAATGACTTAATGTGTTCAAGCCTTTTGGGTCAAGTTTACTTTCATGGCGGATATAGTCATTTGATATTGGTTGTGATTCCCTGAAGCAAGGTAAATGCCACCCCCCCCCCCCCCCCCCCCCCCCCGCCCCCCCCCCCCCCCCCCCCCCCCCCCCCCCTCCCAACCACCCTGTACATCAAAGCCAGAAAGGGTGCTTTGAATTTAAAACTCCTGTTTCATTGCAGTGGTATGGCCACGATCGCCCAATGAGGTTTACTTCTTATCAAAATTTCCCTAAAAATGGTTTAAAAATATAGCTGTATAACACTGCTTCTGTTGGAATCACAATATGTTTTAGCTATTATACTCTTGAAAATTGTAAACTTTCATCATTTCTACAAAGCATGGCATTTTTTGTGTAACCTATATTTAGCTAACACATTGTGAAATAGACAAATATAAATTATATATAATTTAATTTATGCCCTATTAAGTTAACTACACTAGTATTTTTAAGCATGTTGTTTACATAAATTTTTTCATAACAATATTTGAAACAGTTGGAAGCAGAATTTTACGAGCACTGACATTATTTAGAAAAAAAATAAAAACATGAAAGATTACAGACATTAAGAGAAATTTGACAATTATTTCAATGAAGCTTTATTGGCAATATAACTTTAAACGTAAAACAGAGACAAAGGATTTCACAAATGTTTATGTACATTTTAAAAAAAATAGATCATTCAGTTAACATGTATAATAATTTCAATGAATAGAGAATATGATTTCTATGTCAGTTTTCTGGAAAATGCCATTTAAATAAAAAAAAGAGCAATATTTTGGTCAATCAGCCATTAAATTTTTTGGCTGCGGCTTTGACCTGTGTTATCATCTGCTTCCAGGGCTGGAATTTCTAGAACCAGGTCGTGTCCTACCAGCTGGAGCTGACAAAATTGAACAAATAAAAGCGCAACAAAATCTACAGCAGCTGCAGCAGCAACAGAGGCAGCTGGCCAGGCAGCGCCAAGAGCAGCGCAGCTCTGAAACATCCGCCCTGAGTCTTAAACCGAGGAGAGGAAAACCAGGCAAAAGAATCCCTGTCAAAAAGGCCGCACCCACTCAAGCCATGGAAGACAGAGCAGAGAGTCAGAGCCTGACCTCTGCCCTGGAGCTCAGAGATCCAGAAACTGAATATTCCACTCCACAGAAAACCACAAGAGGACCACCAGAAATAACAACCTCCAAATATGAAAAATATTATTTGCCAACGCCGAGGACCTGGAGGAGAAGGCGGCCAAGAAGCTTATCTGCCGAATCCAATCCCTGCCCTGCTGGATTTGCTGCAGATCATGTAAACAAGTCAGAATGCATAGGTGATTAGTGTTTCATTGTTGTATATCAGTTTTCTTCAAAATAGTGCAATATGTGTAATTTTTTTAAAACCTAAGTTATATATATAACTCATATATGTGCACACGCATATATATATATGTATATATATCTTGCATGTATGTATGTATATATATATTTATATATATATATATATATATATATATATATATATATATATATATATATATATATATATATATATATATATATATATATATATATATTTTATATATATATATATATATAATATATATGCACACATATATATATATATATATATATATATTGTATATATGTATATATATATATATATATATATATATATATATATATATATATATATATATATATATATATATATCTATAAATATATATATCTATATATATATATCTATATATATTATAAATATATATGTATATATATGTATATAAATGTATGTATATGTATATATATATATCTAAATATATATCTTACATGTATGAAGTAAAATGAAAGCACATTTCTTATTATAACAGTTAACATTATAAAATGTTTCTTTTGATGCAATGTTTTGATGTGGCAATATGGTTTCCATACTTGAATATGGTTTCCATACTTTAATATGGTTTCAATACTAGACTGTTGCCATCTGAAGAAGGTCTTAGTTTTTAAGATTTGTGGTCAGGTTCAGCCCAGCATCTAATCAGCACAAGATTTCGTGTCTTCGCTGCCACAGCTCTTTCCCTTATACCTGTCTTTTCTGGATATTGAGATTATACAGGTCTCTTTAAGTTACAAAAACAAGTCTAGATAAAAACAAATTTTTAATTACTATGTTTAATTTTTAAAAAAATTAAATAACAGGATTATAATTTTTAACAAAGTCCCATAACTTGTCAGCTGAGAGCTGTGAGTTAAGTGTATGACCTTTATCTGTCTTTATCCCCCTTGATAATTTTTGGAATGGCAATGTCATTTACATATCTAGATTTCTCATTAAAAAATAATAAAATCTTTTAATATCCAAGCATATTTGAAGAGAACTCTGAAATTCTTTAATGATCAACCAATGAATATAATTTAATATTGTTATTCCCTGATATCTTCCATAGACCGGAATGAATGTTCTGAAGGAAGGTCAGTCTGTCAACATAACTGCACAAACACCAGGGGAAGCTATAGATGCTCATGTCCACCAGGATATCAATTGGACAAAGATGGTTACACCTGCAAAGGTTGATTTTTAAAATGTTTTTAAAACAAATGCAAATCATTCTTTAAATAGAAATATGAATTGATTAAATGTGTGTATGTGTATTTGATTTCATTTTCAAACCTTGAAATGCTCAACATAAATAGACTTGGCTTCTGTAAGATGACATAGTAATAGTAAACTAATAATTGGAAGATAAATGATAATCTTTTATTGATTCAAATAAATGTGAAATATTTTGTTTAAATACAATGTACATATTTATTTTCAGCATCTAGATAAACATTCAGATTAAAATAATGATATTTAAACAACAACAATGTAATCTCAAGACATTGTAAAATATTTCTCTAGTTCAAAAATCAGCCACAGTACATAAATAAAACCTCATTTCCTTAATGTTTCCATTGGCAGCTGGGGAAGCATGCTGGTTAGTCCCAACAGACAGTGGAACAAAGGAATTGTTAAAATGTTCAGTCCTTACTTTGAGGGAAATAATAATACGTTAGAGCTGATCTTTAGTAACTGTTATGTAGTGGGTGGGATGTTAATAATTTGTTTTATTGTTCCTGAAATTGAATTTTTCAAATATCGAATAGTAGAACAGTTTTAAATTTCACGCAATTGTTCCCAGATATCAATGAATGTGCCGACCTGAACATTGATTGTGGAGCAGAGAAAATGTGCTTCAACCAAAGAGGCTCCTACAGTTGTATTGACATCCCGTGTCCACCGGACTATGCCAGGGACCCCACCACAAAGTAATGTCTCACTCATGTCAAGACTTACTGTTGTTAGGGGGAAATAAATTTATGTACAGTCCATACCATATTAGTAAACTGTCTAAAAATGAAATCAATTTTAGATGATGATCAAGCTTGCAAGAGTTCTCTTGTCTGTTAACTTATCATGTTTTAATTGCAGTTATAACAAAGCTCAAATTAATTGTCAGGTTTGACGTTTTGCATTCAATATTCCTAGTAGAAATGTAACATTTCAATTCAACACATCTACTCAGATGCAACAAACAAGATTAAACCAATTATTAGTTTTACATCAATTATTTCGCTTTCACACCATTTAAACATCTGCAACTTGCAACCAATAATATTTGTATATTCGTGTATATGGGTAGCGCCTGCTTAAAAATCATTCAGACCTATTTCATCATGGCATACTTTTTGTTTTTTCTATAGTTTCTGCGTGTTGGAATGTGTTAATCCTAACATCCCGTGTCCACCTGGGGCAAAGTATGCAGACATCATTGAGTTCCGAACTGTAGCGTTGCCCGGGGGCAACCCGGCCAGACAAGACTTGATTCGGCTGACAGCATACAATCAGCATGATGAATACTTACCCCAGGTAATTGTCATGGCAATGCGAAATTGCATAGGCTGTTCATTGTTATGGTAGGGGAGGGGTGGTTGCCATAATTAACTTGAACTTTTGTTGTCTTATTTCTTGGTCATTATTATCTTTTGAGTTGAAAAATAATCATCTTGGACATGTCTGTAAGTTAATTAATCTACTGTAGTTAACCGTTATGTCTGTAAGTTAATTAATCTACAGAAGTTAACCATTATATATTTATGTAAATAAGAATTATTTAAATAGCTGATAATAATGACAGTATTAAATATAAATTTATGTACAATAAATGAAATGTTTTCATAGAATTATCTCTATTAGACAAAAAGATATGATTGTTGAAAACTCAATCTAAAAAATTTTTAAAAAAAGCAATCCCCCAAATTAAATAAATAAATGTTTAAATTATTTGTATTAAGGAGATAATTTAGTATTAATTTATCTTCACAGACAATGTTTACATTTTAGGATTAATTTTTCTTTTTGCAGATAATATTTACATTTTACAATCAGTTTTTCTTCAGAGACAATATTAACATTTTACTATCAGTTTTTCTTCACAGGCAATGTTTACATTTTACAATCAATTTCTCTTCACAGACAATGTTTACCGTGCTGCAGAATGATCCCAATTTGGAGTTTCACATCCGTATTGAGGAGGGAAAAGGCATTGTCTTCACGATGGAGCCACTTAAAGACAGCTCTACATACAGAATAACAGTCCGTGCCCGCTCGTATGACAACTACAGATTGCATATACAGTACCAAACTACATTTATCATACATATTTCAGTGTCTGCCTTTCCGTACTAACCTCTGTGCCATCAGTGATTTGAGCCAAACGATTTTGTTCAAATTATCAGCAACAAATTTTTTTGTAAGTGTAAATCTCTACTTGATAGTGTGTCGTGCCAGTGAGGAGAGAATCTTTGATGGAGTGAATGAGTTGAAAGTGGATTTGAAGAGAGAAGTTTTGTTATGAATCAATATATAATTAAACTGTAATTTTTTGTTTTCTTTCTTCCAATTTCATTAACGTCTTTTAAAGAAAACATCACTTGAGATTTTTTTTAAACCTTAAATAAATCAAATTCTCACAAAAATGTATAAAGTATAAACAACACCTGAAGATAAATAATATGCTTGATAAAAAAAGCTTCTTTTTGCTATCATTTCTGCAGTAATAAATAAATAAGCTCTGTATGAGAGTCTTTCAAATCTTTGTCAACAAAATCATAATGTATATAAGTGTTCACACGTCTTAAACTGCTGCAAACACAGCTCATTTAAACATCAACGGGGGATTTAAAAATAGCTCAACGGTTCATTTTATCCCCAAGTTCAGTGCTCATGTCATATAAACAAACTCTTAGATTTATAATTAGAAGATAAAAGAACTTCCTTTTCTTATTTTATGCATTTATAGATAAGAAACCGACATTTATATTCATATTTCCAAGACCTTACCATCGTAAACCCACCTCCCCCATTTTTGGCTTTGCTTTAGTAAATGGCTCCAATCAATAGGATTATTATGGATCTTCTGTTAGTAAACCCTAAAACTGGTAAACCTGATGAATAAGTTAAAAAAAGATAAAAACTAGCTAACAACTAGATAACAGCTGGATAACAGCTGGATAACAGCTAGATAACAACTAGATAACAACTAGATAACAACTAGATAACAACTAGATAACAACTAGATAACAACTAACTTAAACGAAAGTTTGTCATCAGGATTTATACAAAAATATCCAGCTTTACAATACAATTATTCCATTGTCTTTTATCAATAGGATGATATCACAAATTAATAAAAATGTTAATAAAAAAAGAAATCTGTTTGGGTGGATGATTCTTATTTTTTTTATCTCTAACTGTTGTGTTGAAATAGCCAGTGTGCCAGACAACACTATTCAAACATCACATTTTTGTGTTTTGCTTTTCTTGGGTAAATCAATTCTTTTTTTTTTTTTTTTTTTTTTTTTTTTTTTTTTTTTTATTTTTTTTTTTTTTTTTTTTTTTTTTTTTTTTTTTTTTTTTTTTTAAATAACTTTAAAACATATGATTTCTAATTCCTTAAATTTTAATCAAATCACTGAATAAACGACAAAGATAAATTACTATAGCTCAAGGCAGCTGATTTTTAGTTTTGCTTTATTCGGTAAAAAAACCTCATCTTTAATTCATTTCTGCAGCCAACAAAACCCTTTTAGTTATTTACTGCACACAACAAACCGCTATTATATTAATTCATGATTTGTTGTATGAGTAGATGTACAGTTCTTTATTTAGTGTCATATTTTATGGGGTTTTTTTTAGCTTTTTGTAACCATTTTCTGAACGGAGCAAAAATCAATGAATATTTTTTTTTAAAATCACAAAATGCCTTTAATAATAACCGTCATTAAAAACATGAAAAAAAATTCCTTCTTTTTCTTTTCTTGTATGTCTCTTTACTGTAACAAGCTATAATTCATATGGGTTTGGATGCTGCATAGTTTGTCCTTTAGTTGTCACAGAAACTTTTTTTTTTAAAAAGCTTACTTTGTTTTTTGAAAGATAAGTATTAGTCAACTGTAGTTGTTGTTTTTTTTAAATTTTCCAGTCCAGAAAGCTGATTAACTTGTCTTCCTTTTAATATCTGTTACTTCAATCTGCTACTGCTACCAACCAGTGCTATATTCCACGTCTATCTGCTATTACTATCTGCCACTGCTCTCTGGTACTGCTATCAGGTCCTACTGTAATCTGCTATAGCTACTGCTATCAGCCATTGCTATCATCCACTGCTATCTGCCACTGCTGTTATCCACTGCTATCTGCTATGTGCTACTGCTATCAGCCATTGCTATCATCCACTGCTATCTGCCACTGCTGTCATCCACTGCTATCTGCTATGTGCTACTGCTATCAGCCATTGCTATCATCCACTGCTATCTGCCACTGCTGTTATCCACTGCTATCTGCTATGTGCTACTGCTATCAGCCATTGCTATCATCCACTGCTATCTGCCACTGCTATCATCCACTGCTATCTGCTATGTGCTACTGCTATCATCTACTAGTATATTTCCTTGGCTTTCAAGATTAAGTTGTGTGTATATGAACACGCGAGTCACGCACACAAAATTCAACACATAGTCATAGACCGATTTTTTTAAAAATTTAGGCTGCAAAATAGACAATTTTTTTTTTAAAAAATCTCCTTAAAGCTCATGGTGCTACTGTTACCTACACATTTCCTTTTAAAGATTGCTTTATAGAAAGGTTTCCAAACATTTTCTATATTCTACAAACCCTACAAACTGATTGTCTCAAAACTCCTTAAAAAAGTAACCTGCATTTCTTATTAACCAAAAAAATTAAAAAAATCAATTGCTAAATTTTTTTTTAATGCAAAGATAATTGTAGAAATTAGAAAATAAACTTGTGATTTATTACATACAGTTAAAAGTTAATGCAAAAAAAAACAATGCATACAAATGTATGTCTTAACTTAAAATCATCAACGGCTCCTCTTGTTCTTATAATCACTTGTCCTCACCTCTATTGAAATGCCACCTCGCGAGCGACCCAGATTTAAAGAAATTCTAATGGGATGCACTCAATCCATAAATAACTATAATATGTAAGCACAAGATCAGACTTAAAAGTCAGCGTTCTTTTAGATATTTACAGAAGTCTTACTTAACCTAGTCGCAGAACGTGACCTAGTTGAAAACTTGACCTAGTTGCAAAACGTGACCTAGTTGCAAAACATAACCTAGTTGCAAAACATAACCTGGTTGCACTCGAGACATAAATTTATTCTTGCACTAGCCTGGCATCCACGAGCCCATTAACCCGCAGCCGATGACGAATTCGGAATGCGACCTATCGGAACATCCGATTCTTCAGGTCTTTTCACGGGGATTCTCAAAATCTTCATCACGGCCCATCTGAACTGTTTCTTGAGAACCGCGAAGATGACGAAGTTCATCCCAGAATTGGTGAGCGCCAGCAGGTTGAGCAGACGATAGATGTCGCCGGGCACATTGACGTAGTAGTCCACAGCCATGCAGCAGACGACGGGCGTCAAGCAAATGAAGAAGACTCCGAAGACGATGATGAAAAACTTGACACTCCTCAGTGAGCTCTTCCTCGTTCCACGGCCATGACCTTCAGAATCGGGGAATAGTAAACAGTTATGGGCGTGAAGCAAAACTGTTAGTCTAATGAAATTTTAACCACGCACAGACTACGTTGGTGGGGAGATAAGGGGTAATGTGTGGGTACCAAGAGCCATATTTTTTGTAATTTTTTGTAATAAATAAAAATCGGACCATGTTGTGAATTTACAAGTTGTCATCGAGTTAAATGATAATTTTATCACAACCGCTGACTTGTGTAATCACCCATCACTAGATGTAGCTGTACTAATCAACATACCGACGAAATCAGCTTACGGACTAATCGAAACATGAACTAATCAACAGCTGAAAACACGATAAATTATCTAGCACAAATTGGTTCCATCGCAAATTATACATTTCGCTTACTGACATTTCACAACTCCTTGTCCTTTTATTCCTAACAAAAAATAATATGAATCGAAACACGATACTATTAAATAGGCGGTGTAATATCAAATTTAATGTACATTTTCATTTTTTGGGGGGTACTTTCTGTTTTATCGTAGAGTAAGTGCATCTTTTCATTGAACTTTTGCACTGCATGGCAATTCTAGAAAGGCTAAAATATATCTTCATCAGCGGGGTCAGGGTCGTATTAAGACCTGTAGGTAGAGGACACTACACACATTTGCTTCACCACTGGCGTAACTAAAGGGATGCGAAGTTTGCGACTAACCCGAGAGACACTTTGGGCTACAAATGCCTAACATTATAAAATCAATGTGTGCGTTTGGAGAGAATCAATGTGTGCGTTTGGAGAGAATCAATGTGTGCGTTTGGAGAGAATCAATGTGTGCGTTTGGAGAGGACTTTCGGGCATTCGACCCCGGTTAGAATTTATTCAAAGTACACCACTGCACGCCCCTCACCCCCCGGGCAAATACACACATCCTTCAAGTTCATTAAAAAAAACAACAACAACATTTGAAATATCACTTCTGAGAAATGTTAAAGTCTTTTTGATCGCTCATTCACTGACCCTAATAGCTGGCATTGTACTATAAACACATTTTTTTTATCCATACTTAATTTCATCAAAAGACGACTTTTTCTCTTAAATCCTTGCTTTGATGATTGCCGTCAAGGATAAAGGTAACAAGGGCTTTGAGTTATTTCCTTTCTTTTTGTTTACGTGGCCTATTTCTATTAGTCGATGGCTGGTTACTAGGTGTGGAGTGGAGCTGTCGGGGATGTCCATCGGGGATGTCCATCAGTTATCGGTTATATACATCACGGCTTAACAAGTAGACTACGCTTAAGATCATATCAGGTCCCCACCCCAAACACTTTCCCCTAATACTTTATCACGGACGCCGAGAAGGCGCGGGACCTCATTTTCCTTTAGGTTCATCAAATCTTCCCCCCCCCCCCCCCCCCATCGCCTTCACTAAAAGAATGACGAGTCAAACTATCTCACAGCCTCCAACCCACCTCCCGAAAGTGTTGGAATAATTTAACGCTAATCTCAATTTAATAATTTAATGCTCCACGGAGCAATTACATTTTAAAAAAAAACCTGACGATTTACTGATTGTTTACGGGAAAGATGAAACAAATCAGTTAGAAATAATTTTGTACAGCCAAAAAAGATTATTTTTTTAAATCAACACTTAAACGTGCTAAATCGATGTACAAATTGACTTACATGAGAACTACATGGACGATTACTTTGGAACGCTTGAAGCTCATTCTACAGTTTAGACCAGAGGTTCCCAAACCGGGTGGTGTTTCTCTTTAACAATGGGTTACTTTAGGGGTGGGTGCTTTAGCAGAAGAGTGGTACAATTTACCTTATACTATGGGACCACAGGAATGACGAAAGGCTGAGTTATTAAATGATTTTATTTGAAGAAATCTATCATCATGCGTGACAGCTACATTTTGTCAGTGAAATATTCGCTTCAGAATTAGCAATATATGATGGGTGGGAAAATCAGCGGGAGTAACTGAAAGGGTGAGGTTTGGGGGTGATTTATATACAAGTTCGTAACCTCATCTGGGTTGTGGTGGAATTATCTTGCTTTATGTAAGAAATCAGTGCCCTAAGTAACCTGAGAATCTTTTCTTTTTTTTTTTTTTTTGACACACCCACCCAACATGAAGTATTCGATTATGTAGATTACTAGACGAGAAAGTTAGCCGCTCTTGATGATTGGCATTGACGCATTTATAACCTCACCAATGTCTTGTAACATTCTAAACACCTGTGAATGGGATGAGTCTTGGGTGACGCGTTGAACCGAGGGAAGATTTTATCATGCGATATAATTCAAAGCAGCCAAGAATTCTTAAATAGTTTAATTTCTGTAAACCTTTCAGAGTTCGCCATACACCGCGTCTATGTCTATGTCTATGTCTATGTCTATGTTTATGTTCAGAAAAGAGCGTATTATGTGTGATACGAAGTACTGCATTTTTAAAAAAATTAAGATCTGGTCAGGCCACTACGTTCTAACAAATAACTCACCATTAATCCCAGCAATATTGTGCGTGATCGCGGTGATGGCTTTCTGCTGCCGGAAGGCAGTGTGCAGAATGACGGAATACATCGCCATGATCACAACGACGAGGGAAAAGTAAATGCTGCTGCTGGAGTAGAACAAATAGCCGATGGGCAGTACGAGTGTGACGTCGCACAACGGCTGCGGGCCGTACGGCTTGTAGATGAATTGAGGCAGGAAGCTGTAAACGACACCAAACAGCCAAATTGCCGCCAGAACGACGACCGCTCGCCTCGGTTTTAACACGCGGTCGTATAGGTAAGGTCGCGTGATGTAGAGGAACCTGTCCACCGAGATGAGGGCCATGTGGCAGACGGACACCGCCGTCATGCCGAGGTTCAGCCCCTGCATCAGCACGCACAGGTTGATGTAACGAAAGAAGAGCGCGACCCGCGTCGGGGGCAGGAGGAACAAGGCCAGCAGGACGCAGCCCAGCCCGACGACGAAGTCCGCAAACGCCAAACTGGCAACGTACATGTTCGGCAGCGTGCGCAGCGAAGGAGTCTTCCAGATGGCGCAGATGGCAAGGGCATTCCCGGCGCAGATGAAGGCGGCGAGGAGACACGCGAAGATGAACAAAGATACATCGACCAGAGTGACGAGCGACAACTCGGTGCAGTTTTGGGTCGTAGAGTTCTTGTAGCAATTTGAAGTGTTGAAATTTGGTGCGATGACGTCACTCGTGATATTCATGCCAGTTGAAGCGTTGGTGTGAATGATGCCCGGTGAAGCGTTGTTCGTTTTTCCAGCTTTTGTTTCATTCTGGAATTGAAGATGAAGAGAAAAAAAAGAAGTTAAATAGATATTTAATTCTATAAATTAATTATGGATAGATGCTAAGAATGGGACAAAAGTGGTTAGGACCTCTTCCACAAATGTAGCAATATTACTTTGAAAATCGAGCTCATTAAAAGTTATGACACTAAAATTGTACAAAAATTATGTATCACTGAAAATATAACCATTTTATGTACACGAAATTATTCACTGATAATGGAGCTCATAGCATAGCGCCCTCTCAATCAACCTCAATCACACACACACTGTTACTCACACACACGCAAGCACACACGCATGCCCGCACACACGCACACACATTCACACATCTAACAAAACTAGGTGTTGTTCGTCCTTTGAATGAGAAGATGACCAAGGCTTTATTCTACGGTGAAAACGGAGATGGCTTTCAAGTCCTGTAAGTGCATGGAAAGCTTTCCCGCACGTTGTTTTCGGTCCTAGCTGGATTGGAGTCCATTCTGCTTTCTCCTGCCGTGCGCTGTCTTTGGGCGTGAAGCATACATGGAAAATGACCGGGGGGGGGGGAAGTATCAATATTTACCTTCTTTTTTATAAACAATGAGATCATGGTGAATATTGATAAATAAACATCTAATGCAGGGGTCTCAAACTCGCGGCCGTGGACCATTTGTGGATTGCAAGACGATATTTTGCGGCCCGCTACATGACAGCAAAATATAGTGTTAATGCGGCTGGCGCGTTTTCCCCATTCTCATATCTACAATCTGACCTTCCACGACGATTTTTGTAGAATCTCACCGAATAGTCTAATTCTGAGTTTTAGTATGTTTGTATATGTTTGTATGTTGATTATAATGGTAACAACCGTTTTCAAATCGAACCACATTTTTTATATTATAGCATTTTATGAGACAAACATGGCCAAAGTGTGGTTCTGAGAAAAGTTTTAAAAAGTCAGTTGGTGGGTCATAACTGTGTAAATCGTAACAATCGGATACAGTATTAAAGAATCCCTATTAAAATTGCCGCTAGTGTTTACGAGGGAGGGAAATTCCGAGCCTGTCAGCTTGGTCACTTTCAAAATAAGGTTTATCAAAAAGGCCCTGTCATTCTCGCGACAATAGCTTCTTGCTTCCCATCAATAATTCTTAAATATTGCCTGCTCCTGCCTACTTTTTTAACTTTTAAAGCCTTCATGGAGAAGGATGGGGTAGTTGTTCCTGTACTAAGTGATCCCAAATGGCTCATGGACTTGGCTTTTCTTGATGACATTACACAGGAGCTGAATGTACTCGAAAAGAAGTTACAAGACCAGGGGCAGATTATCAGTGTTCCCTATGACAATGTCAGGGCATTCTTCACAAAACTTATGTTATGGTTGTTAGAGAAACCTCTGCCATTTCCCAACATGCAAAATACTCATGGACTCGGGCACACTATTCAGTAGTAAGTATACTGATGTCATTGCAAATCTACATTTTTTTAGATTTCTCAACACACACAGCCACTTTTCAACTTTTTGCTGACCCTTTCTCCTTTAATGTGCATGGAAGATACCCCCCCCCCCTTTTTTTTTTTCCTTTTTTTTTACGCTTCAAATGGAGCTGATTGATCTTCAGTGCAATTCTAAGTTCAGGGAGGTGACTGGAAAAAAGACAAGCATGGACAATTTATGAGAGCATTGCCCTCCACCTTCCCTGAGATTTCCAGGTTGTTCAAGCGCATCGTGTGACTTTTTGGGAGTACCTATGTGTAAGAAAAGCTGTTTTCCACTATGAACTTTAACGAGTCAAAGTTCACAGCAAAACTTACTGATGAGCTATATTCAAGCTATACTTAGGGTCTCAGTTGCTTCCTCATTCAAGCCAAATGTCGCTCAGCTTTGTAAGAAGAAGCGCTGCCAGGTCTCTGGCAACAAGGAGCAGGAGGAAGAAAGTGAAGCCTAGTTCTTGAGAACCCTTAATGTTTTTATTTGTTACGAATAAATGTTGAGCAGATTGTAACAGTGGTACTTTAATGAATTTGTAATCGCTTTTTGTGTGGAATACTTGATGCGGCCCAGTGTCACTCAGACTCTACCACCTGCGGGCCCCCGGATGATTTGAGTTTGAGACCCCTGATCTAATGAATACTTTGGCTGTTGACATTTTAATTTAAAAGTAATTTAAATTTCTTTAAAATGTTTTTTTAAATTTAATATGGTAGGAGGAAATTTGGAGGTTTGGGGGGGGGGGG